TTCCAGGCCTTAATCAGTTCACGAAGCCCCGCCTTCAAGCCGCCAACCCAGTTGAATCAAAGAGTAATCGACCCTTAAAGGCACCGTCCACCCAGATTTTCGACTTCCGCGTTTTTGTCGTTTCAGGGCCTTCTCATGTCCCTGATTCCGAATACTGAGTCGAGAATGCACGAAAACTCCGATAATCTCCGTTCCGGAGGACCCACAGGCCGGCTTTCTGGAACGGTGATTGGATGGGCGCGCACAAATGGGCGGGCATGGATGAGGGAGGGCGGGCATGGATGGGGGTCCTCGTGCATCTTCGCTATTCCGAAGTGATTTTCTCGCTTCCGAAGCGACATTTTGCGCCGCGACTTGGGCATTGGATTGACAGGGAGCCCTACTATTATATGCTGCGAAAAGTTCAACACCTTCAGCTTAGGATGAACGGTGCCTTTAACTGGAGTGTGTTTTGTATATATAAACGTCAACTTCTCCGAGTCTGAAGATTGTATGGAACCGGTCAGAAATAAGGAGTTTTCGCTTGGTTTACCCATCTTAGGTGGTTGCAAACATATATTCTCAAAATGCTTACTTTATGTGCACGTTAAATTTGGCAAAGGCCGGGGGAGGTACCCATGTTTCAGTTTGCAGTAGTCGGTAAGGTGTGCGAGAGACTTACGTACAAATAATAGTGATTATCTAATGTTTAAGCTTGAGAAACGGATAGTTATAGGGCATTCGAAGAATCGTGACGATGGTGCGGCTGCGCGCGACACTCACGCACTTCTGGCCCGCATTTTCTTGCCATCCCTGCTTAAATGGTTTTCCTGCTTATGATAGTACTAGTTGACTTATCCGGCTTCGCCCGGCCCTGTCATTATTATATTCGTAATCAGCATGCTCGATTACCCCCCTGTGCCAACTCCCAGCCCCGTAGCTCAAATTTTGCAAAAAATCGATATCGATCGATGACGAAAAGTGGCCTATGACACCCGCAGGGGCCCGAAGTGTATGTGTGCCAAGTTTGGTCCGGATCGGTTCAGAAATGGAATTTTCTATTCGGAACATACGTACAGACATACAGACAGACATACAGACAGACAGACGGACAAACAGACATTCAGCTTTATATATATAAGATTTAGACATAGGAAGTGTCTGAGCTGATCAATGAGGTGATGCATTTTTTAAGTGTTTTATACTCCTGTCTTATGCTCCGCAAATGCATTCAAATCTATACATCACAATGCAGCTCATCGATCGATATATTGATTAGGAGGCTCTGGCTATGGAATGCGTGGGTGGGGGAACGAAAGCCGCCAGTTTCGGTCGCCTGCGCGGACTGCTGGTCCTGGAACGACATGCAACAACGTTGCGAAAGGACCAATTAGCCGCGAAAGGCGGCTCAAACTGGCGGTTTTCGTTCCCCTACCCGAATGCGTCAGCTCAATACAAATTTAAAACTGCCAAAAAAGCCTCATATGTATCTGATTTAGAAATCCGCTTATAATTTAGCAAACAGCACAACCTATCACTTATTCAGAAAAGTATATTCGAAACGCTATAGATAATTTTTGGGCAATCGCGCCTCAGTTCACTACTAGCTATCGTCGATGTTGACCGCAGGGACACTCAAACCCTGCGGACCATGCGCGGCGCGGCTGAATTGTCGCGAGAGCACGACTTATACAATGGCGATTTGTACTGGGGCAAGCGTTCTACCTCGCGTAGCGTGCTTCGCAGAGATGTCCAGTCTGTGCGGTCAACGAATCAACTATACTATTTCAATAGCTGTCATTCCGAAGCGTATATTGCAACGTCAACCCCCCCCCCCCACCCCGGTGGGTCGTATCGTTCGAGCCGTAGTGTTCTGGTCAGAGCTCCATATAGATGTCTCCAATGTGCGTCACTCATGATGTTCCATCGTGACTTTGCAAAATGCGAAAATTTCTAATTCCATACGACTTAGTGGTGGGTCGTATTGAAGTAATGTGTCAAAAGCTTTGCAAGTCATTTGCTTGTTCTGAGGGGGGGGGGATAGTAGCTCTAGTCTCAATTAGCAAACTTGAGCGAGTCAACCCGCTAGGACGGATGTTTCATGTTTACCATATGCATGCCTATAGCGTCTAATTACACACACGTGGGGCTATAGGCTAGACATTAATATGAGTTATGTTCGCAGCGCCAAGTTGTTGCTTGCTTCGACGCACTTGAAGGAGTGCCCAAGCAAACTTGGAGAAGGGCCTGCACATAAAAATGGAAGCCTACCAGACTGAACTGAAGAACAGAACTGCCCAAGTGGCGGCGCAGATGATGCACCCATGGCTGAGGTAATCGTATCCACAGACCTGTCTACCGTATTTAGCACGACTTGTGTTGGCGTGGTGCTAATGCATGAGGACCCACCGCGAAAGCCTGCACAGCCGAGAGTCGTTCGGTATTTAGTCGAAAATACTTTACTGGGACAGGAGCCTGAAAACTGCCTTCAAGGCGTAGTTATTTGAAAGAGCAACGTTGAACGCAACTGCGAACTGCTTCTTGAGCCTCCCCCAAGGAAATTATTATCCAGACGCCCTTAATCTGCCAAATAACTCTCTTGTTTTTTTATTTCACAGTCGTCTAAGCAGGGAACGATACTTGGTGACTGTGGCCATTCGTGTTGATTTGTATATCAATAAATGCGCCTGTCAAGGCTGGCTCGAGTACTGTTTACCATGTCTGCGAAACGACAATCTGGATGGAGTTACAATTATTTTTTCAAGAATGATTTGCGCAACTGCGGACGGTGAAAACCATTAAAATTTTCTTTCCTCTCTAAATGCTGAATATGATTTAGATGGGCATAAATACAACGTCCTTTCAAGATTTTCCTCATTAGCTTCAAACGGTAAAATAAACCAAAGTGAATGACTTTAATTACTCTAATTTCACGCGTATAAGGCGCTGGGGATTTTTTCAAATCGACCAGCCCAGACACGCCAGAGGACATCACAACCAAGAGACCTCTAACGTGCTGTATATTGCTTAAAGGCAGCGTACACCCAAAATCTAAGTTACCTAATTTTCTATATCTTTCTATACCGTATATATACTGGGCCCAGAAGAAGACCAACTGCGTTGGTCCGGTCTCCCAATGTTGCTTCTGAGCGGATGAAACCCCCCTCAATTTTCTTTCAATCCGCCCCTTTTCTTTCACTCCGCCTCCTCCGGACGAATCCACGACAGCGTAAGCTGCAGTTGCAGTTGCAACTACAGGCTGTCATGCTGTTGCAGCTGCTGGCATGCAGACGGGGCCGAGCAGTTGGAAACTCGTCCTCCCTTTGAAGAGAGGGTCCCCGGAAATCGGTTTTTTGGGACTTTTGGAGGATTTCAATGTCATAGCGGTAATGAGCGGCACGGAAAGGTCCCAGAATGACAAAAACATCGAAGGTGAAATTTTGGGTGTACGCTGCCTTCAAGTGGATCGTGCGGTATAAAGATCTTTTTCCGGAATACAGTAAAGCGGCTGAGCGGCTCGCTTGAAAAATCGAAAAAGTGCGCCTTATACGCTGAACTTAGGGTACCTAAAAGTACGCAAATTTTCTACGAAAAAAGTTCATAACTGCCTTTACATGATCGTTTCGCAGATTTCGAGCACAGATTTAAAATCAGCGTTTTGAGTTGCACCTTATGGTATACATCGCATACCAAATGACCGTGGTCACCAAGTATCCTTTCCTTGTAAGTGCACATCCAAGCCCTAGAAGTAGTACGGTACATGTCAGAAGGATCAAAATAAGAGGTCATCTACATGTAGGTGTTGACACACTTATCCCTTGTCTGGTTAGCAGATTTACGTAAGTTCGTTATTTTGAAGAAGGGAGAAGGAAGGATACTGGATTGCTGAAGGCCGATAATTGCCAGAGGTCGACTGTCTTCAGCCAAGCATCTTCTCGAGCAGCATTTGTAGCTAGCTGCGTCCCAGACATATTCATTTTTAGTCTCCCAAAAAGGTGCGTCAAATATACTAAGAAAATATCCAGTTGATTATATCCATAAGGTTCCATGATTGACGCAAATTCTTCCTACCTAACAATTCCAAAGGCTAATTTTCAAGGATAGAGAATCTTTTTGAATTTTTTGTTTAGTTTCTTATGTATGTTTTCGTTTCCGCAAATTTTGTTCATTCCGGAATTTAATGCAGAAAAAAGTCAGATTTGTTCTGAAAAGTATGCGTATTGAATGCGTAGCTGTGTGTTTCAAAACATTTAAAATCATTTCCGAAAAAAACTTGAGCCAAGAAATTTGCACTCTTATTTGATCACCTGGGGCATTCTGTTTAGGTAAAGAAATTGACAGTTTCCGGATGAGAAAATCTTTCTCTTAGCGGCTACAATTATGTAAGAGTATGTCTTGCATAACCTAAGGTTTGCCGCTTGCATAGTCCTTATCGCATTCAGTAGATTGTTTTGAAGAAAAATACTGTTTGATATCTAGGAAACTTGCAGGTTATGGATCAACCAAAAACTACCTATTTTTCGCAATCAACACAACTCATTGGCAGCTGGTCTACCTAGTATATGTAAATGCGATGAAGCTTCCTCTGCAGTCTCATCCATTTCCTCTCAACATTGTCAACCTTTCTCATATTTTTTTATTTGTTTATCAACAGCGCTAATCTTCATAGAAGGCCTCTGCAATCTTGCATGAAGAGAAGGTTATACAAACAGTGGAATCAGGCTGATTTTCCTTGCTTTGAAATCTTTCACCCTTCTAAGTAGAAAACATTATGTATCAACATAAGTGTTCAGCATCTGAGGGCACTGTTATTTCAAATTGCAGTTGTTTGATGCAGATTTGGGAGCTACTGAAAGACTCTGCAAGGCTTACAAAAACTATTTGAACAAAGTAGCTCATAACTGCGAACAACCAGCAATTTAGTGTTCATTTCAATGCCATTTTGAGCCATCATAATGCTATTTTCACAAAATCTCTCTCATAAATAGATATAAACAAGTTTTCGATTTTGCCCGAAAACAATGAATTCAGCTACAGCAGCAGCAATCTGGTATGATTCATTCAATTTTCTGATGAGTTCCAGCGGTTAGTCTTCAAGAATTACTCCTCGCAAGAGTCTGTACATGCTCTGATACCACCATTCCAGGCCAACAAGAGGTCCTCACAGCATCACAAGGGCCAAACGCAACAACCGAAGGAGACAGTTTCCTAGATCGTGCTTATGAATATGGTGGCAATGTTCTCAACTGGATCAAGTATATTCTAAAGTGGTCACTTGTTTGCGAAGAATCGCGGCAAAGGGAGCAGTGAGTGCTAACCACTTTACTAGGAAACTTGAAGTAATGTAAAGATTTTATGAGTTAGGAAATTAGGGAGGACTCACTTCTCTAACTACTGTTTGTAAAGCGACGTTAAAAGAAGAGAAACTTGCGATTGTAAAAGTTCACTCTAGCCCATCGTGACCGCTCAGCTCAAGGCAAGTCCGGCGCTTTAGATGCAATCCCTTATCTGCTCTGCTTGCGTAATCTAGCTAAAGGGCCGGGCATACTTCAAGCGATTTCAGTCGCGGCGCGATTTACCAATATTCCAGGTGTCCATAATTCATTGTAAGCACATTAAATGCACAGAAGATAGGGCATTTCATCAGTTTACGTAAGTTATACACACTATGCATGTGCAGTTTGCTAATGTTGGATCCGAAGACTTCTGACGAATTGCCAAATCGCGTCGCGATGAAATCGCGTGAAGTATGCCCGGCTCTTAAGCCGTACTAGATTGACATTATTCACCAATATATTCGCTTCCGTGAGGTACAGAGGTGCCTAGGCAAACTGGATGGGTAACAGACCAACCATTTAGTGCTGAAGCACGATAGGCAAAACTTATCATTGTTGATAGGCCATATTGTGACCGGCCGTTCTGCTAACATACATTCCGCAATGCTTGCTGCTAGATCGATGAGAGACTTACATCTGGAAGTAACTGTGGAGAAGACAATTTGCGCAGAAGGTCCTCTCATATGTTCGCCTAGGCCAGAGCCGCCAACAGTGGCTAGCAGGCTGTAAATCTCGGCCTAGAATTGTGTGTTCATTACTTGCATCCTAGTATGCTTCCCAAGCTAGTCAGCTGTCTTTACCTCAGCCTTGTCATGACCTTAGCTAGGGAAGCGCAATAACTAATGGCAGCGCCAAACGTTGGGTTATGCTGCTACAGTTGGCTTAAAAGAGCCTGGCATGATGTAAGCTCACGTCGTGTTCTCCCAACTGATTTTATTGATTCAGGACCCAAATGGAGAAGATTATTGGTACAGAGAGTGACCCGACAGCACCAAGTGACTTGCAGCCAGTCACCGAGACAGTCATGTTTGATTCTGCTACGTAAGTGCTTGGAGATTCTTCCGTCATGCAGCAACCTCATGCTAATTTTGAATAGAAAGAAAGCTTGAAAAGTAACCTTAGGCATCACCCCACTTAGTCCATCGCTACATCATAGAAATCCAAATAATCTTCAATCGAGCTAGAATGTTGTCAAGATCTTCTTCGAAAAAAGCTATACCCTTATTACAACTCTTGAGCTAAGCCAAAAGCAATTTTCAGCATAATGGCAACGCTGATCATAACGTTCTGTGTCTTCTACTTCATTGATTTCTTCGTGCAGATATTTGCTGGAATATCTGGAGCAGATATTTCGCCTTCTTTAGCTGTAAGTAGCATCGAGATTTTAGTTCATTACCTTCAAGCTACTCGTGAATCTACAGAGTATCCCGCCAGTAATACCGACCAGACCACGACGTCGTAAGAAGGGCTCGTCGTTGTCAAGAGAATCAAGAGAAACCACTGTTTCTACTCAATCAACATTGTCTCGACCGGATACAACCCAAAGCTCCGAAAGCGGCTCTGCCGCAGTTCCTATGAAGGAAATCCTTACTAAGAGCTTTAAGAGCTCGAAAGAGCCAATCTCAGCTAAGCGAGTGAGTATAACACTAAATTTTATCATGGTAAACTTTCAAAACCGAGGTCGTGGTGGCAAAACCCTAGGGTATGACCATTCTTCTCTTCCAATCATGAACTTCGAGGGCCGTTCTCCAGAATTATCCATTTTGAATCAAGATTGAGCAAAAATGACTCTCCATGCATAGTCTCAAATTCTATGAGAACAATTACTGCTGTGCTATTATGTCAACCACAATGCATTTTTAGGAAAAAAGCTCAAAAGAGAACACGCCCTCAAAAAGTGGAAAGGTTACTTCAGATCGAAAGCTGGCTGGAAGATCACCGCTCAAACACATTCGAGAAATTGGTATTGAGTCAACACTGAGAGAAGAAAAGGTGAGCCAGAGCAAGAGTCGATAATGTAATGCATATTCTGGCCGGTACTTCCACTAGCATGTGGAGGGGTGAACACCCTTGCAGAATCGCAAAAATCTAAGAATAGTACAGAAAATTATGCGGAAAACTTGAAAAATCCAAATGATTTTGTGAGATAAAAATCCAATTTTTCTGCAATATCATTTCCTGACTTGGCGACTTTGGCTGTAAAGGAATAGAATGTAATGAGCACAACCTCCTCTTTCATGAGCATATCAATACAGGACCTAATATATCTGAAGAGAATTATAGTATAAAAAACCTACGAAGTCACCTGGTATAAGGTTAGTCAGCTCACAATATTTTGCAGGATTGTGATCAAAGATACGGATTCGATGGCGACCAGGTTCCCTGCAATTGCGGTAGACTGAGCAGAGTCTTTACAACGAAAGATGAAGAAACTCAAGTATGTTGTTTCATTCTGAAGCACCGCGCTGCAAATGTTGAGCTGTTTCCGTTTGGAATATGGTTCAGTCACAGACATTTGAGATCTTCCTAATATACCAATTTGGACAGGCTCGCATGTTTGCAAATCTGAATCTGTTTGATTTTGAGTGCAAACTTTGTACTTTGAATCGTCTGATCTGCTTTTTTTTCTGAGTGCATCCCATAAGCCCTGGATTTTTATTTCGTAGATGTCAGGAGGAACACCGATCACGTTTCATGTTCAGCTCAATTTGTGAAACATATTGCAGACGGATTGCGATGTCGTTACTGCAGAAAACTACTCGAATACCGATGGTGCCTCGAGCATCCACACTCATTACTGCACTCATAATCTGAAGGTATTTTGTTTATTAGCTCAACTTCTTCTCTCCTGGGTCCTATGGAAAAAGTACACAAAAATGTCATAGATGTGCAGGGTGTCCCAAAAGTATGTAACAGACTGTTTGTTCGTTGATAACCCTGTTGCCTCATTTTTTTGCGGGTTTGACTGTAGCATCTTGCCAATGCAGGATTTCGGTAGCAACTATGGAGAGGATTTTGAGCCATCAGCAGATTTCCCTCGTTCCTCCAAAAATTCTGAAAGTTCTTTGCTATGTACTAGATTATAGTCATGTATGATGCTTATCGTGTTCTTAACGTCACAAATCAAAATTTCCTCAGTTAAGAGATTTTCTTATTTATTGCCCTTTCCTAGGCATTTGACTCCTATAGCTCAAAAATTTGTAGTTTTTTTCGTAATTTTACGTTAACAAAAGTAAAGAGATTGCGCTCCTGCAGTTCTAAGCTGAAGCCATTTTTAACAAAAGAACGGTACTGAAAGTCCCCGATATATCTCAAGGTGAAAGAGTTATAAACGTCAAACAATGTACAAATGCTTTTGCGGCACCTGTGTAACGTTGAAGAGAGACATAGGAGACTGAAGAGTAGAATAAATCTAAGTCAGATGTGTGTCCAAGCTTTGGATCCCTCCTTTAATTAAAGAAAAAAACATGTTCTGGAATAAGCAGATCGCTGCTTCAGCGATAATACCCTGATACTCAGAAATACGATGAATCACCAGTGGTCGAATAGGATATTTCTTTCATCCCTCAAAAGACCCTATCCATTTTTGTAACCACAGGGATACAAGCGAAGAACACGTGATTATGTGTACGACGAAGACCATGGACTACCGTATGCTGATGATCTGTCTGGAGAAGAATTCGGAATTTATCAGTATGATAAATTCAAGGTTGTAAGTAATGTCAGTACCATCACCACTAATCTATCATTCTATGTAAGGTTCGCTTGGGATACGAGGCTCAATTAGAGGAGCTCCGCACTGAGTTTTCCATCGACGATGCCTCAGAGCAGGAAAAAGCTGTGGACGAATGGGAGTGCCGGGAACCGGAGGTTCATTGAAAGAAAGTTCGGAACTTATTGTTAGCTTTTCATCCGTATTTTTAATTAGACTGTCTATGCTGCACCTCCTCCCAATCCAAGGCATTCTCTCGAAGTTTCAATGTCAGAGGATGAACTAGACTCACTTTACAAAACAGCAGAAAATATCTTCCGAAAAGTTGCAGCTCATAGTCATGAAAGAGGACACAATGATAATGCGAACGGAGAAGGAAGCAAGGAGGAGGTAAGGTTAAGAAACCTTTCCCAAAACCTATTCACACAGATTCATTTTAGGAAAACTGTGCTGTTGACATAGCCGAGAGCGCAAAAAATATTATTGACGGTGTGGAGGTAAAAAAATGTGCTTATTGTTAGTTTGAAATTCTAACCAGGGCCGTAATCAACGTGGAAATCGGTCTTGAGCCGCTTGAGCATGTGCGGAGAGACATTTATATGAGAGACATTCGATTGGCGTCGCGTAAGCCAAATGAATAAACTTGAAATAGCGTCCATTTACTTGTGCATTGATAAACAAAAACTTCCTTTGGTTGCATCTAGTCTAGGAGAGGAAAAGGAAACACCGTTTACTGTACTTCATCGGCTCCATTGCTTAACTTCACTTACGCAATACCGAGTAACAAGTGCTTGTCATTTAGTACGCCACATTTGCACACCTTCACGCAATTGACGGATTGAGTATGCCTGCTTAATTATTCAAGAGTTGCAAGAAAGTTTTCAGCTCATTGCCAACCCTCCAACACGAATACTGTCCTCCACGGATTGCCGTGAACTCGGAGATGGTGGAGCGTTCGCAGATGAAATTGTTGAACATGCTCTGAATAACGAAGCCACAGGCGACGAGTCATTTCACATCGATGACTTTGATGCAAACGAAAACAACGCAGAACCTGACTGGGAAGAGCCACGAGACCTGGATCTATCTGGCAGTCAGGTACGTCCACGATTCAGGTGCAGTAATAAATGTCCTATAAATGCATATACAGGATTACCGGGAAAGATCAGAAGCATTTCTGAGGAATGAAAATACAAGGTTACATGAATGCGGTAAGCCCATATTGCATAATGGTGAGAAGTAACAGTTGCTAAATGTCGCTGAGATCAAACTTAGTCCATAAATTCCACGTAAATCCGAACTGAAACCGATCTTGAAAGTGAGGGCGATTTACTGATTCAGTGAGTGTTCAGAATCCTATGCAACTCCATGCGAAAATCCAGGCAATTTATCCACTTCGAATCCTTTTGCGCGCAGTTTAGCGAGCTAGATCTGATCTCGATCTTATCTTTAGGACAGCTATAGCGGTTATCAAACACTCTCAGTTTAGATATTTATTTCAGACTCCAAAACTGCAAGATCCCTTAGCGTCTTTGATGTACGACAGTCCATGAAACTCCGACGTTTTCATCATGTTCTCTTCAGCTATCCGGACAAACACGCAGAAAAGGTAACCCGCTTCCTCTTGTGTAAATAGATTATGAAATGGTGAGCTAAAAGGTAAGTCTGCGAACATTTTCAAGCTAGTATTGGTATGCAATGCTTGCAAAAAAAGTGCAAGTGTTTGGCTTGTCTTCTAATATGGTAGGAATAGATCAAAATGAATCTTAGGGTTCAAAAGTCTTTGCCAACTTCGAGATTTCTTTTCCTGATTCCTTTTTCCACAGTTTATCGTTTCGTAAATTTCGTTTCTACTTACCTATGGATGGTTGCATTACCGAGCTCAGCTTCCAACTCACCGCAGGAGCATCTTTGAAAACAAATATCTTTTAATGTATAGTATCGCAGCTTGCAACTGGAACTGAAACATGAAAATATTAATAAACTTCATCGATAAAAAAACTGGGATCTTCTTGAGGTTTTGCTCACGGGATCATTCTTTGGTTGGAAACTTTCCATGCCGATGCAGAGAGAGGGGTAATAGAGTTTCTTTCTCATATCACAATTCTAATATTATTTTTAGGGACATTTTTCGACTGTCAATAACCTTGCCGGCTGGTGAACATAAATACAGATTTCAAGTATTTCGTCGCAAATGAGAATTTAATGTAGAAGCTTCTGAAATGTAACGAAGAAATGCTCATAAAAAATTCGTAGTTTGCGTATAGTCTCTCACATAACCACTACTCACAAATGCCGTTCTGGGAAGATATGATCTCTTTACTAGCAATATAGTTAAACAGTCCAATTTTCGGCACAAAGATCGAGCGCAATTTGATCACATCGAATTTTTTATGCAAAATTTAAAACGTTCTGCAGTGCCCGGAGAGTACTTGGGTTTCCTAGGTGAAAACTGATGGCGGGCATTATTGACAGCTTAAAGGCAGCGTCCAGGCAAACCTGGACATAGGGGTTCTAATGTGGAAAGTAATTTTGGGCCCTAACTAAGATACTGCCCAAACGGCAGCTCAAATGGTGAACTCACAATTGAGATATTCGCCTCCAAACTAGACCCCGGGATCGTATTCGCATGGATTCATGGCGCGACCATCAGTTTCGCGCGAGGACCCACGCGTGTCGCGCCATGAATCCATGCGAATACGGTCTCGAGGTTCAGTTTGGGGGCGAATATCTCAACCGTGAGCTCACCATTCGAGCTGTCGCTTGGGCAATGTTTTAGTTAGGGCTCCAAGATTACCCTCCAAGTGAGATCCCCATGGGCCTAAATTTGCCTGGACGCTGCCTTTAAAGGAGCTACTGGAAAATTCAACTCTAGACTTCATTATGGACTGTAAATTCAATCTTATTTGAGGACGCTTATTGGTTTTTTTTGGAAACAACACGGTGTGAACGAAAAAATCAAAGCTGAATTGGCCCTGAATATCATACAGTAACGCTCGTATTTTTGAGAAACGACGACCGCTTTCAGATCATCCTAATATATTAAAATTAAGCCAGTCAAATATATTACCCTTTCATCTTTGATAAACTGCGTTGCATTCATTTTTGAGAGCTGTTGAAGGTAATGTCGCTCAGATTCGCCAGACGCAACGAGATTAGTGACGTATTCGAGCGAAGCAATTTTTCTTCAAGTCAGATTCTGCAAAAATCATGCATTCGTGATCGTTGACGACTGTGAAGTTCAGGTCATGTACCATAATGTTGCACTTTCGGTGGATTCCGCGAACATTAATATTATGTCAATTTTCTGGTTGATATCTTTAGCAACGTCAAAGATTGGTGCAGATATTTATTCCACAAAATACAAACTGACGTTTTGGCAAACCTGTCTTCTTCAGACTCTGATTTAGGAAAGCAACAGTATCAACCAAAACGCAGGGCTGAGCCAGATCACCAGAATAATAATACATCTGGTGGGTGTAGACCACTTATAAAACCGTACTGCATTACTTTTGTAGTTATGTCAATTATCTCTCAATTTTTTTTCTCTCAATTTCCAAACTTCGCCAGACAACATGGCTAGTCCTCTTTTATTGATCAACTATTAATTATCGGTCATAGTAGTTAGCAAAGCTAGCCCTCTTCATATTGATTGTTTGTAAAAAAAATTCTAAAAATGGTGTTTTAGAAACATGTGCAACAGCCTGCCTTCCACAAGACCTGGAGACCATCTTTGTCAACAAAAATTGAAATTGACTTGGCTCTTAAAAGGGTTCAGGCAGTAATTCGTGACCCTGCCATTGTCAAAGGCTATGGGAGAGAAAGACCATAGTGTCTTATCGTGGTCTACCATATAGTGCAAGAGATTAGTCATGCAAAAATGAGAAATGACTCTTTTGTCTCCTCGTCCCTGCACGTTCGATCATCTCTTGAATTCCCATCAACAGCCACTGACAATGAGTAGACGTTGATGCAGCTTTGTGTAGCTATAATAACATTTGCGTAAACAATTTGTGATCCCTAACTAAATATGTTATTCTTAAAGGTTTTGAATTTTTCTTTCTGCGAAATGAAATAGATTTATACGGAAAAAAAGCAAGACGAGTCTTAGCTTCCACCCTTCCCACGGGAAAAAACGCTTCAATTTGACTGTAAGCTCGTCATTTTGAACCAATGGTGGTACCAGTATCCAAGGATCAATCCTGTACTATCATATCCTTGGAATACGATGCAAGAAATCGGCTTGCGGTCCACTCAAATTCTTGAAGAACTGCTCTTGAGAACATGGATTTATTGCCTTGATTGATCTTCACCGATCTTTCGAGGATCCGTCATGTTCCGTATAGTCGACGGGCAAAAGGAACTCCACCACTAACCTATGCGATTTAACTGATGGGTTAATACTATTTTTCACACTCGCTTTGTTTCTTTACAAATTTATATAATAGTTACATTATTGAGTATAACGAGGAATACTGTTAGATTTCCGATCATATTATTTGGCTTGGCAATAAAGTTTTACTTGATTTTATCTGTAGGCTAATCAACTGTTAATACAGGTAACCGGACGTAAAAGTTACAAATTTAGGCTATCGTTTCCAAACTACATATTTAAAATGGAAATGTTAGTTATAAAAATTAGCAAAGTGATCATGCTCCTTGTCTCCATAAGCAAAGTTATGTTATGAAATAAAAGGTTACAACATAAATTGTTGTTTTTAAAGTTAATATTTGCTTTAGTAAGTTTTGTCCATCACTGCCGCCATTTGGACATCTGAACATACTACTATCGATATTGACATAATTTTTGTCTTCTTCTTCTCTATCTTCGCCAATGTCCCGCGGGGGCAGGGTCGGCGGTAACGGATAATGTATTAATTATAATACTTATGTGTTGTTGGACTCCATTTCACCCTAATAATGAAAAGTAGTCTTCAATGTAGTGTGTAAATAACCAAAAAACCTCGTTTCGTTCCTGCCCTTAGACGGATAAAAGTATTTGCAGACCTTTTTCAGAACTCCTCAGTGAGGAAGGAAGGTCTGCAAAAACTTGTTTTACTGAGAAGTTAGTTTTTAAGAGTATTGAGTATGTATATGAATTTTTGGATAATAAAATTTGAAGTAATTGTGTAAGTGAAGATAATTTTTTGGATATAAATGTTCATCAATATGTAAGTTTAAGTTTTATAAGTTTATACATTGGGTTTTTACTGCTGTATCAAACGGTAGATTCATTCTAAGTGACAAACATAAGCAACGATTTTAATACCACCCATAATCCGGCCATCTGCAAAAAGGTCTCTACATGACCGCTATCACTTAGTGTCGTTCTTTAGTCAAAATGGGCATTGAATGGCTCTTAATCGCCTTCGCAAGTCCTTGATGGTTAGCTATGAATGAGGGCCATCATGACGGCCGCTATTCCTGCTTCTGCATCTATCACCCGCTCCCCCGCGCTCTTCCCCTGACGTCTAGTTCACTGACATTTTGTGCGTATTTCAGCCTTCTCGTCCTCATTTAATTGTCCTTTTCTTCCTTTGCGTATCGCATCAAACCGGCATGCCAATCAGCGTTCCATTATTGTTATTGCGCTTCCGATGCCTCCTCAATCGAGTTCATATTGTGGTTTCATTGAATGAGACGAGCGTGCAACTTCTAAATAAATTCTTATAAAAATTTCCGAGCGCAGCAAAGACTGTAAAGAGCAAACCTTTGGCTGTATGTACAACATATGTTTCATGTAACTGTGCCCATTACAAGAAAAATTCGAAAGCCTAGCTCTAATTCTTTTCAAGGATTGCCAGAAATTTTTCTGGAAATCCAGTTCAAAAGCGTTTCATAACATTCAAACAGCAAAAAGCTCAGTTAAAGAACAGGTAATAAAACCTATAGCGAATCCTCCAAGTTTAGTGCAATTTTCCGTTTTACGACCAATTTAGGAAAATCAAAATTTGAGTAATTTGTTCTATCGCTTCTGTCTATGAAATGTAGGCTCAATGAAAGCTGTTGAAATGGTGTTACGAGAAGCATAATTTACTGTTCCAAACAAAATCAAAGCAAGCAGATTCGTTGAGAACATCAGAAAATTATGAACTTTTGCAAATGGTGCAACAGAACTTTCGTGTTAACCTAACATGTTGACCAGGTGGGAATACCTTGCTTTAATAAATAATTTTAATGTTTTCTACATGGTCACGAAGATGATGCTTGATACTGTATTGTAATACAATAAACATATGGATCTGCTGCATATTCATTCTACTGTTTAAAAAAATGGATATCTTCTCGAGAAATTTCGAACTCTTAATCTCAGCAAAAATCTTTACTTTCTAGCTTTTTTTATAAATACTCCATTTTAGTATCCATTTTAGTATATTTTAGCATTTTAGTATCCACACTATCCACTCTCCACCTTTTATGCTTTTCCTTTCACAGTTTGGGCAAATTTTATAAAAGCTAAAAAACATTGCATTTTTTACGTTTTTTTTCTGTCGCCAACGTTTCCTTTTTTGTAAGAATGCTTCAATATATCACAATAAAGTAACTGTGTATGTCCATTCGACCTTTTGTTCTACCCAAATGTCACATCCCATCTGTCATACACAAGAAATGCGCTTCCATCTTCATTCAATCAACTTTTGAGATGTATTGATAGGTAGATAATGCACAAGTCCTCAAAGAATAGCCTCAATAGCAGTTTTGCTAGTTTACACCGTCCGTTTCCATTTTTTACTCGTTTTCTACAGTGTCTTCACATATTATTTCTGATATCAAGTAGACCTTTTGAAATTTGTATGCAAGTCAAGAATACTTGAAATCCTACTTTTAAGTCTTAGGGTATTACGTAGACTACGTCCTTCTAGATAAACCTAGAAATATGGATGAGTGTGTAGGGTGCCTATGTATGTAAGCCTATGTACGGAATCCCTCTATCATACTTTTCCCCCAATACTTTGAAGCTGCTTATCGTTCTGTGATGGTTGTCATATCCCACACTTTCGTGGAAGTTTTTGTCATGTCAGCAGTCGGAGATTATTTGACACGTTTATCCCATTTTTATAATTGAAATATCATACTCCACGTTTCAAATATACAATACGTCAATGCAACGTTTACGGTCTTCTCGTGGCACAGAAAATGTCATGCATAAAACATGTATCGAGCAGGCGTTCGACGGACATTCCGTCACAAATCGTCAAAGGGCATGGTCTAACTATTTTACATTCACACTTCTTAGAAACTTTACTTCTCGTAATAAATTTCTCAGGAAACTCTCTCTTTCTCTTTCTCTTTCTCTCTCTGTCATCCACTTCTAATTCCTGTTTAAAACATCTTGTTCATATTCCGTAATGTCATGAAATTCAAACTAAGCAGTAAGCCTATCAACCCTGTTGCTACAAAAAATATTCATTTCTATGGATCTTGCACCCTTTCAAGAAAGTAATAGTTGACATAACGCATCTATACAATTCGTAAAGGCAGAACTCTATAATCGCAATTTTTTAAACTAAAAGTCCTATAATTTCAAATGACTTTGGTTATATTTTGCTTTCATAGCTTACTAATCTTATTGAAGAAGTTCGTGCTGGTCACTTTTATCTCAACTTTTCAATTTTTTAATTAAATCGTTTGTGGGTGCAACGTGATTTTCATGTAGAACAAACACAACATTTATTATGTACATAGTTTCAATGGGAAGAAGCTTTCATTCTGAACATTTTCTGTAATCCTACGTAATTTGTAGTGCAAGACTTGCGGATCAAACCGATGAAGAAGTCGCAGTAAACATCGAGGAAATATGTGGAGTGAAAATTTTGATCTTCCTTCTTATATAAAACTGTAGAGAAGGATATAAATTTTTCGCATAATCGACTGCAATTTTCTCAAGAAAAGACGAATTCAATCAACACAAGACTAGCCGACTGATTCCGGCAATAACTTTTAAAAACTTCAAAATCAAAATGTTTTTGAAAAGTTGCTTGAGAACTGTACGCAGAACGAGGTGAACGTTTACAGAAGCGAAATGCGCGTGGAATGTTGGTTTTGTTTGAGAATGCCTATTTGCGCACTTTTTATCGTCAAGTTCAAGTGGGCTGGAATGCTCTCAGTGCATCAAAAGTTGCATACATAAACTAAAAAGAGGTTTTTTTTTAGAATTTCCAGGCTACTGATTTCATTCAAGTTTTGCATTTTTTTGTCAATATCCCAAAAAGTGCTGTACTACTGTTGAGATTGAAGCTAACATTTTGCAGTATTTTCGATCCAATTTTCCGGCTATGTGAAGCAGGAAATGCGATAATCGTGTCGGGTTTAGAAGGATAAGCCACACATGTGCAAAACTAGAAAATTGTTTGGATAAATATATATGGCAAAGTTTACAATTTTCATTGAACCTGAAAAAGCACTTTCTCCTGGTGAACAAAAAATTTCTAGCGACAATGGCAAAAAACGCTATGAAATAGTAAAGTAGAAAGACTCTCCGCAAAAGTTGTAAAACGGAAATGGAATTAAATCTCAAGCAGAGTACATATAGAGTTTTTTTTATTTTTTGTACCCTTACCACAGAGTACTTCAGATGGCTCCGAAAGGATTAGATTACAATGCAATCTACCTGGCTTGCTTGAAGCATAAATTCCATACAAACCGTAGGCTTCAAAAGATTACTAGAGAGAAAGCGCTGGGATTGATATCATGGAAGGTTGCCAGAAACTCTATAATAGTTCTAATAAATCAAATTCTCATATTCCAATAATCCTGATATTCTATATCAGGTTGGCTAAAAAATAAGTTCGTCTTGGTTTCAAATTTTCGTAAATAATTTTCTTGCTGTATTCTATCCATTGTTTTTTGTGAGAAAATAGTTCAAAGCTTTCTCTAACACTTAACAAATATTTAAAATTTTCTATCGTCAGTAAAGCCAGTTATGCCTACATGGCTAGATTTTTTAAAAGCTCAATTCTTTGACTTCCTAAGCTTCGATTTCAAGCTGTAATGGATGTAGAGAATAGTCCCTTATTTGGATGCAGAAGAGTTTTCCCTATTTGGTGGATAATAATAAAATTGTGATCTGCCACTTTGAAAATTTTTTATCAAAAAACCATTCCCCATGATGCGCACTATGGGAAAACTGGGATTTCCCACATCCTTGCGGATTTTTTTCTTTGAAAGATAAGCTTTACTCAAACAGAATTCTTACCGCAGTTCCCACTGAAGTGCTCTTTCCAGAGATAACAAACACTGGAGAAACATTTATCTGCGGTATTTGCAAGAGCCGCAAAAGCGACCGAACTTATCTATCAGCGAACCTAGAAATTCTTCTTCAAGTTCTCTCGGTTGCTTTTGATAATTAGATGTTACAATAAGCGACAACTAAGGGAGCAAACTTACTATGTTTATCTTCATTTTCAAACCTTCAGACTGCTATCACGTCGTGACTGAAGCAGGGCTGGATTTACGATCCAAAGCACAATACCATTAAAATCAAATAGGACTTAAAAATTGAAATATGCACTGTCAGCCATACTTTGATTAAGTTTCATTATGCATTTACAGCAATTTTTTCATTTATCAAATACAAAGGTTTTATAAAGTTAATCACCAAACCACGTCATTGTATTAGGTCGGTGCAAAAGTTTTGTCAGTTTTTTCGATCCATCGGCAAACATGTTAGAATGAAGATAAGCTAACACTTCAATATGAACCCGATGCAGAATTTCCTCCTCTTTCCAACTGCTAAACTATCATTGTGTTTCGTTGCGAGAGTGACGAGAAATCTGCTAGAAATTGCACTCGTTTTTACCACCTCCAACTTTCGCTAATTTTCAAAATTTTCATGTGAGACTTTCGGAGGAGCCCTAATAACCAACAGATAGAGCGAACCTTTTGCCAACAGAAGCAATTTTTTCCTTTTTTTCAGCTGCTTTTTCAAACTTTTGTTAAATAATTCTCTAAAAGTCTCGTGTTTTGGAAAAAACGCCATAACCTGTTATTGCACCAAACACTGCAAAATCTACAGAATGCTGAGATTTCAACACTTGATTATTACTACGCTACCATTACACAGTAAATGAGCGGTTTTCACTTCAAATCATGATGATTTTGAGACATAGGTTACCTTAGTGCGCACTCCTGAAATTGAGAAATACTGCGATTTTCCCCCGCAAAATTCGCCTTTCCCGACAAAAAAGGCAAGTTTTAGAAGAAGGAGAAAAAGTTACATCGAATGATAACTGAAGTGTTTAACATTTTATGTTTTACGAAGTTAAAATAGGCTGAATGTAAAATTGGGTCACTTCAAAAAATAAATCGTAGAAATTTTGAAAGACAAGCCATAGAGCTACAAAAAAAATTGCTTCTGTTGGCAAAAGGTTTGCTCTATCTGTTGGTTATTAGGGCTCCTCCGAAAGTCTCACATGAAAATTTTGAAAATTAGCGAAAGTTGGAGGTGGTAAAAACGAGTGGTTGTAATTTCTAGCAGATATCTCGTCACTCTCGCAACGAAACACAATGATAGTTTAGCAGCTGGAAAGAGGAAGAAATTATACATCGGATACATTTTGAAGTGTTTGTTCATTCTAACGTGTTTGCCGATGGATCGAAAAAACTGACAAAACTTTTGCACCAACCTAATATAATAATATGCAGCCCCAGAAGAGATTTAGTAATTCAGAAAAGATGTTTATTACAATTAGATGACTTGATATCCAGTTATCGTTTCTGTTAGTGAGAAAAGCTATAATTGGCTTATGCACACTAGTCACTTGACGTGAGTAATGTTTTTTTTTCAGACAGGGCTCCAGCTTGGGAGCAATCGAATAAATATTCTTGAAGCTCAACAACATGCTAAAAAATATGTTAATAACAGTATTAAAGTAGGGTCGAACAAGATCGAAAGATGAACTTTCTTTCCCAAGCTCGTTTTGTTCTCAGCATACTGTAATGTTTTGAGTGTAGATAAACGGACACCTAATGGCTTGTTCTTCCTTGGTCTCGATGAAAATCGGTTCAAATGAAGAGCTATCCGGTTTCTCGCGAAATAGAATTACAGTTCTTTGACTTCTTTTGATATATGAAAATGCCTGACTGCACCATTTACACTCTAACAAGAATTTTGGTTAAATATGCAAACTGCACATTTTCTAGAATGGGGTTGGCCACGAGGTCTTGTCTCTATTGTTTTTTTCTTAGTGTTTCATAACAGTTTTGTATGAAAAGGCGTAGATGGGTTTTATTTTTTACCCAAGAAATACACATCCTGTAGTTACACCACCTCGTAATGGAAATTGTGCAATTGCACTCATTAGCAGAAAAACTACTCCACTATAGTTACCTGTCTTTATTTCATCGGCATTTTTCGTTGAAACAAGTCGCATCGAAAACATCGTTTGCGCAAAGTGCGCACCACTTTTGAGATTACTTTTTACTTGCAACAAAAACTTGCTCATCCGGAAAAGTGCACGTTGATGAGGTGAAAGCTCTTTTTGCGATTATCTCATTGTCAAATCCGCTATGATTGCGTAGTTTTCGGTTGTATTCACCATTAATTCCACTAGGCTTGTTTTTTGTGCAATTTTTCTTGCAGCATGTCACTGCCCGTTGTCGACGGGTAAGATAACGAGATAACGAGGCCGGGGGATGAGTTATGGCCGTACTGTTTGCCGAGTAGGGGGCAACGTTTGCTTTGCGTCCTCGACGGGGCTGGCCCTCGTATTGACCTCGACGGCGACGTCGCGTGCAAACGTCGCATGCGCGCGATTCTGTCGCGCGGCGCCAATCTGGGACGCCGCGGCGGCTGCAGCGCAGCGTTTGCTCGCTTCTGCTTTTGCTTCTGCCGCTTCTTTGCAGCTCAGCGCTTCTTTAGCCATTTTTTGTCCATTAGTCGCTTTGCATGACTCATTCCTCTCTGCCAATACCAACTAATGGCATAGCTCGTAATGTTGTTCGCGCCTTTGTAAATCACGCTGTAATTTTGCTCATCCGATGAGTCAGAGAAATTTTCCCTGCATTTCCTAACCTCTTCCAAGTTTGAGTAACTGTTTTTCAGTGCAAAGACTGTGCCGAATCGATCGAGAGCTACCCCTTATCATCGCAATCTTCAGCGAGATGACTCACTCGGGCGACTATTAATTCATCATCGTACTGGTATCTGGCGCTTCCACACCTTTGACGTCAATGTTACGACGGCGTTTCTCGCGGTCGTTCACGATCGTTTTTGCCGTTGTTTCACTTAATCTTCACGCTATAAGCGGTTTCAATTTGGATGTTTATGCTCCGATCTACAAATACGGCCAGGAGAACACCTACTTTGGGTATACAGTGGCTGAGCACTTCAAGGTTGATGAACCTGTGTAAGTCTTCATATTTTATCTATCTGTCTTCTTCATTTATCTTGTTCAATTTTTTTAATACATTCTTTTTTACACTCAAATGCATTCTTCACTTTTTTAATGAATGATTGTTGTGAATATTCGAGACAAGATGTTCTTTGCTTTTGCTTTTGCAAACTCTCCTTCATGCTCTACATTGATATAGAAGACTGAAATTCAGCGTAGTCTACCATTACTTACCGGATCTGAGATCTGGAGTTAACAATGTTTATTTTTACTATTTTTCCCGGATCTGCACCCTGCGTTGAGTTGCAGTTATACTTGTTGCGATCCGGTTCAGCGCCCGCTAAACTTCGCGTTCGGGAGTAGTGGAAGCGATAACAAGGGAAGCTTGTCTAGTCGAAGTGATCTTTCCAAATGAATTGTATGCCATATCAAAAGGCATAAAACGCTGATTCCAGACTGCCTTCTGATCTGCAGCACGCTTATGTACGAGGAGTTATGAGCATCACTGGAGCCAAAAATTAAACGTGCATTTTGAATGAAATGAGTTGCTAAATTCTTAATAGCCCTCAAATAATGCAACCAAGTGTGATATATTTTGAGAGTTTTTTAAATAATGTGCTCTGAGGATTTTCGATGCTCCATTGAAGAACTGGAAAAAGTATTACGGCTATTCTTGTCCTGGTTGCACATTCAATTTTCTGCTCCAATAAGCGCTCATAACTCTTCGTCCATGAAAGTTTTGCGAATAAGGAAGTCAGACTTGGAATCCGCATTCTATGGCCTTCAATATGGTAAACGTCTCTTTTAGGGATCGTTCATACCGCGCACGAAGGCGGACGAAGCCGGACAAAGGCGGACGAAGCCGGACAAAGGCGGACGAAGCCGGACAAAGGCGGACGAAGGCGGACGAAGGCGGACGAAGCCGGACAAAGACGGACAAAGGCGGACGAAGGCGGACGAACTGCCAAAGCGCAGGGTTTGCCGGCGAAGTGCCATATTGGAATACGCGTGAAATACAGCGCGCGTTGTGCACGTATGTTAGTCATATATAACTCAACGCACAACGCGCACTGTATTTCACGCGTATTCCAATATGGCACTTCGCCGGCAAACCCTGCGCTTTGGCAGTTCGTCCGCCTTCGTCCGCCTTTGTCCGTCTTTGTCCGGCTTTGTCCGCCTTTGTCCGGCTTTGTCCGGCTTCGTCCGCCTTTGTCCGGCTTCGTCCGCCTTCGTCCGCCTTCGTGCGCGGTATGAACGATCCCTTAGAAAGGCCACTTAGACTAAACAGGCTTCCCTTGTGAGTTTCTGCATGCAGCGAACATAATGAATTTTATAGGCACATTAGTCGTAATGAATCTCTTAAATTCAATAATTCATGTTACTTTTCCTTGGAGCCCTTTCGAAAGTTCTATCCAAATTTTCTGTAGTGAACGGACTGAAATTGGTAAGCCTCTCGAATTTGTTGAGTTACGAGTGCCGCTTCTTTACGCGAAGTGTACCTCACTAAAGAATGGCGCCTAGAAGTTCTTTTGCATGTTAGCGGTCGTGTTCGGCGGAAATTTAACCTTATCGAGTTGCCTAAGACTCTATGCAACTTATTCATTTGTCTAGCGCTTCGCTTCCATGCGCATTCAAAATATGAATAAGTTTCAACTTTTCCAATGAAGAGTTAGTACGAAAAGGTTGCCCTACCGTGGGAACAAAATTTTAAAACATAAGTGTTGAAACGCGTTTAGAAGCGCGTTTGTTTCAGCAAGACTCAAGCATACCTATGATTGTTGTAGCACTTCGTCTGTTTCAGCGTTTTAATTGGTGCTCCAAAGGCAGAATCTGGTCAAGTGGGTACCATTCAAGCAGGAGCACTGTACGCGTGTCCGATAAATACGCGATATACAGGAAATAGCACAGAATGGTGGGTCTGCATGGTTTTGGTAATGATACTTTTTCATGAGATTGGCATGTTTTTGCTGTATTGAAACGACAATCTAAGAGAAGTTTTTTGCTTCTAATAATTTATACATAGAATGTTAGGAGTTAGTCAATGCTCTATGCAGGGTGTCTCAAAATGATATGCACACTGTTTGGTCGTTAATAACTCGCTTGCACCGATGTCTTTTACCGATCTTCAATATTATTCTATACGGCCGGATTCAACTAAACTTACGGTTTCTAACGAATCTCTGATCTCTCTTCGTTGATATAGATTACGATATGAACAACAAGGTATTCAGCACACTTGATGCAAAAACCCCAAATAAAGTTTGGAAAATTGTGTAGCAGCTATTCAACCATGCTGGTTTTATCATGCAACTTTTTACAGGATTTCTGGGCTATTTCAGAGGTGTAATCACATTCCTTACGAGCATTAAAGAAGCAGCTGTTACTGTTTTCCTGAAATTACTTATGAAGCATGACCTTTATGCGCAAATTTCATATTCAGCGACGCTGATAAGCCTTCGAGAGTTCTTGGCTTATGTAGCTGTCTTTCTGAGCCAAAATACGAATTTTGACGGCTGAAAACCCTGAACCTGAGAGTACTTAAGAGTTGGCGAAAGCTATCGAAACAAGCGAGTCATAAACGATCATCACACCGTGTAAGTATCACCTTGAAACACTTAACTGACCGAGATACCTTGAGATCACATTGATACGGGCTGCTTTTGCCGATTATTTTCCTTGAATTGTTTTTTTTGTGGATATGCCGCATTTTAGTCATGCATTACAGACTCTTTGTACTTTTGTTAGTGATAAAAGAGCCAAAGGTAATGAAACCCATTGCGAGAACTGGTTCAATCCACCACTCATGAAGATTATGTGGCAAAGAGCCTTGTTTTTCTGCACTTTTGTTTGAATTCTTATGAATCACTTAAGTATTCCCTTAGTCCGGTTTGAGATACAAAGGAAGTCTTTGCCCGATACTGTATCTAATCCCTCTTGAATATCTTGATGGGAGGAAATCGAATATAACTTCAGTTGATTTGATATCTTCTATGTTTGAGGTGTGCGCAAGTCCGCTCCGAATATGAAGATGTTTCTTCTTATTCGAAATCGCCGGATATGACACTGACTGGTCGAGAAGCGCATTATCTCGGCAAAAATGGCGAGCTTCTCGGTGCATCCCTTGCGTCACAGGGAACTCGGCGGGGTGGAGCCGTGGTAAATGAACTTACCATTTTTCCTAGGATTCGTAATTGTTATCACTTATATCGAACTTTAGGTGTGTGCTCCACTGATGCGGTTCCATAACACAAGTGCTTATACGCAAGGAGCTTGTTATGAACTAAACTCGGATTTAACTTTGGGCGGAACTTACACGACTTGTCTGCAGAAAAACTTGCCAAAGCTCGATCGTCATAATGAGTACGGAGCGTGTATGGAAGGATTTTCGTCAGCTTTTTCTGGGGTAGGCGGCTTTTGATATTTTGTCAGGAATGTGGTTCGGTACTGCCTTGTTCACTTTCTTGATGCTTCGTTGTTCATCCATCTTCTTTTTGGTGGTACGGATTAGTCTGCTTACATTTTGTACATTATCATTTCCGGTGTTCATATTTGTCGATTGTTTTATCAACTCATTCACATTATCTCACATGCTTTGCACTTTCAGCGACTCACTTTATCCTTCCAGATTTTTTCGCTTTTGTGTCGCTATGAGTTTTTGCGCATACGTCAGCATTACTAATAGTGCTTTGATCTGCACTGCTTTTTACATATGTGAGTGTCAAAACTCGATCAAGAATGATCACTATGCCATTTTTGAAATTTCCTCTTCCTTTCTATCGTTTCTTCATTTGAACTAATCTTCTGCACATTTTTTATGTACTCTATGTTCCCTCACAATCCACTTACAATCTTGCTGGTTGTCGAATATCATTATCCTTTTCCATGATGAGAATGTAAGGGAAATGTAGGCGGACTATTCCGGAGTAGCAAAAATATTTGTTTCTTCCGGCATTTGTGGGAAACCTCGGCGGTATCTTGACTATTCTTACGCATTTTCTTCACAAGTACTTGGATCGGAAAATTTTTTCAGAACATTGCTATTTGGTTTTAGTCCATATTTGATGTTGTCGTGAGTCCTCGCAATTACAGAACACGATGGTAACAGGATTGATTGGTGCGATGAAGTGGACCGGAGGGGTATATGCTCGCATGGCAGAGGGAGGGATTTTTGGAACAACAGTAGGTTACGCTCTAGTATATGCATGATTCAAATGAAGTTTTATTTTTTAGACTGAAAAGTACACTATGGCACCAGAAGAAGGGGGCGTCAGAACGTTGCTTGCTGCTCATGATTACCTAGGTTACTCAGTTGATGTTGGACGATTTGGCTTCTGGTAAGTCGAATTTCAATGTTTTTCTTTAGAAGCTTGTGCCTACTATAAACTTTGGTTTTCAGACAAGCTTTTTATGCACGTTTCATCAGCCTGTCATTGAGGTATTTCAGGTATGAGAAGGGCAAAAAGTCTACCATAGTGTCTGGCGCTACCCGCTTCGGTCAGCATGGGGCTGTTATATTCCTTCCATTTACTACGGTATGATTTTACAATTTCACGGTTAAGAGCTTAGTGAAAAGATGCCAAAAAACTCGTTGCAGGATCGCGGCGACCTATTAACGTTCACTGAAGACCGATTTCTCATAAATGGCACCAAAATGGGATCGGCGTTCGGTTACGCAGTGGAAGTCGTTGATTTGAACAACGATGGGTTTGTGACACCGGTGTCGTCCATATTCCACTAGTCAACGTTCAATGTTCTAGCTTCGATGACCTAATTATCGGTGCGCCATTCGAGCATCGCTCTGATTCTGATGGACATTTTGGCGGAGTTGTCTATGTTTATTTTTCACAGGGTGTGGAACGTAAAAAGGTATTGTAATTACTGATGTTGCTAAATCTTATAAGGGGATTATTCGTTTTTGTTTTAGTTCGAATCTCACAAAGTATTCCATTCTCCTATAATCCTGAAAGGACCCGAACCTTTTTCACAATTTGGTCTTGCTATCAGTAAACTAGGCAATGTCGATGGAGATAAAGACGGTTTTAACGGTACGGCATACATAATCTTTTGAATATACGTTTCCACCAATTGCTTCCTGTATCAGACTTCGCTGTTGGTGCTCCATTCGCCAATGAAGGAACAGGAGCAGTTTATGTTTTTCTTGGCGGCAAATCTAGAAAGGACTTCCGAAGGAAACCTTCTCAGGTATACCATGAGTCATCATCCATTGTTTTTCATTGTTTTTTTTTTCTTGAACCTTATTTTTTGCTTTATCTTTTCTCAACTCACTAATTATGGTTTGCACTTTGAAGTTGTATGCATTTAGATCATACTTGGGTCGGATCTTCCAAATGTTCGACGTCCATTGAAGTCATTCGGTTTTTCCCTATCGGGAGGTTCGGATCTTGATGGCAACGGTTACCCCGACCTTGTTGTGGGTGCTGTCACTAAGGGAGTGGTCACAATCTTGCGGTATATCATTACATAATGATGTCGTTAACCTTAAGGTACGTCTGTAATTCCAGGTCTCGTCCGGTAATTAGCATCTCGGCACGTCACAGAACAAACAGTAAATTCATTGACATAGAAAAAGGCAAAAACTGTCCACGAGGAGCTAAAACATGGTAAATTGTTTTCTTTAATTGATAGCGAGAAATAGTCAACTGCCTTGATTTAGTTTTCCTCTTGAACTGGAGATTACTGTCGAGAAAGATTCGTCAAGGGGTGCTGATCTTGTTGATTTCAACGCAAACGTATTTACTTGCAATCTGGAGGTTCTATACATTTCCCTGCTCATTCGTTTTAACATCCATAATTATTTAAGGTTATCCCCGTCAGCCAAGGTGTAGCACTTCGTGGTCATATCGGCGCATCCGCTTCAACTAATCATAGCTGGCCTTGTGGGCAAGGCGCCCATAGAAGACCTCAAAAATACACAGAAATGATCTATATCCCGGTAAATTTTTTTCACGATTGATTTAGTTAATCATACTCCTTTCACCACTTCAGGAGCACGACGAACTCGCTAAAGATTGGATCAATCCGCTTAAATTCCGTTTTACTGTGCAAATTAGAAATGAACGAAAGCCATCACATCCGAGTGAAGGATCACCTATTGTCGATCTCAAACAATATCCGATACTGAATAAATACGGCGCTAGTTATGAGTTTCAGGTGGGTAGCGTAATGATGAATAATTTTGACAAGATGTCAATTTTCAGATTCCATTCAATACAAAGTGTGGAGAAGATCATGTGTGCCAGACAGATCTCAGTCTCAAAGCTGTATTTGTGGATATCCCGAAGTAGGCTGGTTTTTCAGACAATTGTTTTGGTCTTTTTAGTATACTGATTTTCTAGAACTGAAAAAGGCTACATCTCAAATGTTGGCGATAAAGATTATCTTGATATAACTTTCACCGTTGAAAATCGAAAGGAGAAAGCCTATCGAGCCGCACTGTACCTAACATATGACCCAGAAGAGCTGGAATTACCCATGATAGTTGGTTAGTGGTTCTGAAGTCGTTTGATTATTCTCTCAAAATGCATTGCTTGAAGGCAAATCGAAGTTGGGCTGGGAAACGGTAGGAAAGAACGTGGTTGTCGTGCGGCTTGGAAATCCTATGAACTCGGAGTCTAAGGTTTGTGGATTATTGCTAGCAAAGTTCATCTTCATACCCAAAACGTTCAGCATACCTTCGATCTTCGTTTCAAATTGGTGCGAGGACGAACGGAAGGTATCGGCAGACCATTGCAGTTCGCCGCAAATGTCAATTCGACATCTTCAGAAACAAATCTTGGTAAAGATTATTGCATTTTACTTCACTGTGGAGTCTAACGTGGTTTTATGACAATAAGTTCAAGATTACTGAGGTTTTGTGTTCACAGGGGACAACGAGTGGAAGGCCGAACTGCAAATAATCAAAAAGGCAGAACTTGAATTGATTGGGACCAGCGATCCACCCTTGATCCGCTTTGGTGGCGAAATCAAAGGTCCGGTTCCGTTTCTACTTCTTACAATGGTTTCTTCGAATTTTGTTTCAGACGAGTCAGCCATGGATTTGGAGGAAGATATAGGTGTTATGGTGCGACATAATTACACGATTCATAATAAAGGACCATGGACAGTACGAAATGTTACTGCCAAGGTATCATGAACATAGATACTCTAAAAATCTACTCTAAGAGATTTTTTGTCTATTTAAGTTTGATTGGCCTTATCAAATCGAGTCACCTGCTGGCAGACAATGGGCGCTTTATCTTCTCGATGTTCCCACCGCGACAATTCACAACACAGATGGAACAGTGGATATACGAAGGTATGCTGCTTCATATCAGTACATCGAAAAGTTTCTACGAGCGTGCATGGTTTGATTGAAGTTTGTTGAAATTCTCATAGAAGCCTTTCTGCGCTTTACATTGTGCTTATTGCTTCGACGTTAATGCAGATTGCTCCATCTAACTAAGGTGAATGCGTTATTGAGAGCAATACTCCACTACTCATCACGTCTTCCCATCTGGAAAACCATTTGCAACGCTTGATAGGTTGCCGTGCAGATATGGAAACTGTGCACTTCTCCTTTCAGGGTCTCAGCCGCTGGCGTTACCGAATAGATCGCTGTTTATCTCCATCTAACACTTTTCTCCCACTTTTCTTGCTGCTCAAAGGCAGTGAGAGAAGATGTACCATTTGATTCAACTGGCTTGGCATCGGCAAAGGCGGGGTTTCGTGACCTAATTAAGGCTAGGTGATGATCAGAGAGCACTCGCGCGCGAGAGAGGCAGGTGCGTCGCGGGCGCGAGCGGCCTCAAGTAGATCAGAAACCCCCACCCTGATGGTGCCGAGCCAGTTGAATCAAAGGTTACATTCTCGTTTGGAAACTGAAGTTAGCTGGCCATTATATGAGTGGCAACTTATGTGCATTCTTGGCTGAACTCAGTTTCTAAATTGTATCTAGTACTGTATTTGATTTGTCCGCTCGGCTGGCGTATGAAGTTGTCTCCAGCGAAGGCTCGCCTAAGCACCACATGGACAGTGGCTTAGTCACCGCTCCATTCAGATTTCATATAACAAGTATAGATGCTCAAATTTGCCTGAATGGTTTCGTTCATGGGTTTTTTCTCATGTTCACACTTTGGTTTCAGATGCAGTGTTGAGAGACAGTTTGAACATGTAAATCCTTTGGACAACATAAAACTCAATACGAAGTACACCACGCAGGAGACGGTATCTACGCGCACTGAGGTCAGGAAACGAGCCAAGGTTTGTGTTTGCTTGTTTTGTTAACTTGAAAAATTGATAAGGGTATTAATCCGGATAATAATTACTGATAAATTCTTGAAAGAGATCGGTGTTCATATACGTCTTTTAGAGAGGTACGGAAGCATTGAAAATTGGTGAAGCGGGATTTCTTCGAAAACGAATTGATCCGCACAAAAGGAAAGAAAATGGCGTTGACGTCCTGGTCGTAACAATCGTCAGTTCAATAATTATTCTCATTATTTTCCGCCTAGTACTTTCACCTTCTTAGGGATGTGCTGAAAAGACCGCTAAGTGTTTTGCGGTGACGTGCCATTTCGACTTCATCGACGCCAACTCGGCGCCTGTGATTGATTTCAGAGCTCGTCTATGGAACTCCACTTTTAGCCGGGTAAGCCCATGAGCAGATTAGAGTTGTGTTTGCTAGTTTCAATTCATCATTATGGTCTCGAATACTGATATGCGCTTTGAATCATTTGAGTCATTTCACAATTCTTAGTGGGAAATATTCGTGCAGTGTCGTCATGACACTCCTTCTTAAATCTCCCATTTCAATAGTGTGTGAGTTAGGCTGTTTTTTGATGCTAATTATGCAAAATTTAGGACTATTCGGACGTGGAGTACGTTGAAATTGCTTCCTTTGGAAGAGTTGAATTAGATGCAAGTCAAGGAATTGAGGACGATCCTTCAAATAATGCTGTAAGCGCTAAGACCGTAGCGTACCCAGATAGGCCTGCCCTCGGTAAGTGAAAGATGTCCACAATAAAAAACCTGCTCAAATCTAATCAAAATCATCAGGTTCTCGCCCTGTTCCCTGGTGGTTGATACTAGTCAGCATCCTAATTGGTTTACTTATCCTACTCATCGTCGTGTTGATACTATGGCGCTGTGGTTTCTTCAAACGAAAGAAGTATGGCGAACCAAGCCTCTACCGTGCTGAGCTGCAACACGAGCGAGAACAATGGAATCAGACTCAAATGTGACCTAACTTCTCACACTGCCGAAACACAGCTAGGTGATATTCTCTTTTTGCGACATGTTGTGCCATTTTGCCCTTCACTGCATGATGTTGATTTCTTGCTCAACAGATGTTTCGATCATCTGCTCTTTTTTATATTCCAGGTGCTCGCATCTGCCTAATCTCAATAGCTTTCATCTCTTTACTTTTCACTCAGAGTCATATCTATCCATTCAATGGGTGAATTGTGTAGTCAGGCTTCGTCACATTGAAGCCGACTCCGCATTTTTGTTTATAGGATCGATCTTTTGTTGTGTACACTTGTGATGCCTTTCACTTTGATATTTATTCTATGAATCTGATAAATCATTTCCACTTTATTGACCTATCTGCAAGTTTCAAGCTTTCATGAGCATACTAGCGAGAAAGTTTGCGGTTATATCGAATTCACTTGCTACTATAGGACTAAAAAGTGGCATGACAGGCAGGCAATGACCAACAACGAAATTTCAGACTAAGCGTGCTTTCATCGTTCTGTTAATTTATCTAGTTCGCTTAAAGTTCCGTCCTCATTGTACACAAAAACATGATCAGTAAACAACGTGGATATCATGGCCAAGTTCTCATCAAAAGGTAAGCAGACAATTGATCGCCTGTCATTATGAGAAAATGTGGAGAGAAGTGCCAAGGTATTAGCGACTGCATGGTCTCCCAGATATGATTCTTCATCATTTTCCACCTAAAAGTTTATCTTCAAGAAATAGAAAAAGGCGCTTTTTCTGCTTACTATGATTAGTGATTGTGTTACTTCATCGTAGAGATTAGTTGCCAGCTCAGCAGCTTTTTCTAGCGGTTGCGACTCGTAATAGAAGGTAATGGTCATGAGACGAGCAGGATCTGAGAGATATGCAGCGGGTACGCATGGAACCCTGTAAAAATGAGGGTTTTATCTGTGCTACCTCACGGCTCCTACACCACTTTCATAAATCTTAGGTGAAGGACCCCGCCCCCAAGGTGTAATCCCAAATTTTCGACCGTATTTCGTGCTTCTAATCAAACGTCATCGCCTTGCCTTGCGCGATAGCGTGTGCGAGGGAGCCCACTTTCGCATGACAGTGAGATTCTAAAACTCCCACCTTGTCCGGACATTGGCCTTCCTTCCGGCTACTGATTCTTGGTTCGTGAACCCTCAACCAAATACACCCTCATGGTCGACGCAGATAAAGACTGCATTGCTTTTTCTCGTACAGCTCAGCTTGATTGACAATGAGTGTTTCTGCCACTGTTCCCCTCCCCCTCCACCCCCTCTTTTTTTCAATTTTTCACTTCAAGTTGGGGTTCATAACTTACTAATTATTCAGACGTCCTTGTCAGCACAAAAATCAATATTCTTGCGCTAGTAGCTCAGAAATGATGTAATTTAGAGTCTTGAGAACATCGGTCAATTCCTGTGTACCGCATAACAAGGGGGTGTATGTCAAGAGGCGCGATTTTTGGGGCTCCATGTCAGGAGTCACGCCGCGCGCCGCGCCGCTTCGCCGCGCACGTCGCGTCTAAATTTTGTATCCCATAAAACTGCCCCGAGCTAAAGTGGCACGGCGCCAGTCTAGGGGGGTGGGGGGTGGGGGCAGATACATGGCTCGTGCCATAAGTAAGACTGCGCCAGGAGTGCTAGCTTCTGTTTTGCTGACATCGCTTGCGGCATCGCTTCGCGAAAAATTCGCGCCGACCGTGACTCCTGACCGTTCCCCGATTTTTGGTGCCAGCTGGACAGCAAATAGCACATATTTGATGTTTTATAAGGTTCTGGGAGTATTTTAAAGTTTAGGAGAGATATATTAGATGGTTGCACGAGTTTTCCAGTCTTACTATTTCAAAAGCGATTCAAAATGAAAATTTTGAAGGTCAAAAACTCATGAAAATGCAATTAATAACAAATTTGTATTTATTTTGGTCGGATTTCCAGCAAAAGCCTTCAAACTCAGCAGGTAGTAACTTTAGATGACTAGTAAACCAATGTACTTTGTCTGGTGCTTTTTGAAGACTTGCGTAGCCCTAAACTTGAGTTTTGAGTTGGTGACACCCAGAGAAATCGCGCCTCTTGACCGTCTCCCATAACAAGGTAGTACAACTATGTATCGTTTCCCAAATGTACAAGCTGGGACGAGAATCAGCTAATCGATACATACTGCCGAAGTTGTCGAGGAATAGAGCAGTATGTGTCTAGTCAATTAAATTACCCTCCGCTAAACATTAACACATAAACTTACCGCTCGAATCTGCTTCTTCTCACATAGTGTGTCGACTTGCTTCTCTCATCTCCCCATTCTAATGCTGCCAAGAACAGATCATCGATGACCTCCGCGCATGTAAATAGGACGATTAAGTCCGGAGATTTCTCATTTCCAATCGACAGAAGAGTCGACATCCTTGCAAGAATGATATTCAAAGATATAGAAAAAGAAGAAGTCAAGGCACTGATGTAGAGATTGGTGATGAGCTGATCTCATGGTGCATCTGATCGATGCTCATTCAAGAGTCAATGTAAAACTAGATGATAGAGTTCATTCGAATAGCATTTTTGTTTATCAATCAACATATATATTCCAAAGATCCGATATAGTGAATCCTGGCTTCAGCTGTTCTACGGCTAAGCCCAGCTCTTCGCTAAATACTGGAGGTCGTCGTTCCTCCGAGTGTGTGGCCCCATCGGAGAAATAAGCCTAAAATGATGTCTGTATGTTGCTTGCATTTTTTCCGAATTATGATCAATGCTGACCGCAAAAGCATCCGTTCGCAACTGCTTCTGCTCAACTTCTTCTTCTTCTTCCTCTAGTTCACTTGCTTCTTCCTTGGCCGTTTCTCGGGGTGAAATCTGAGAATGAGTACTCAAGCAGTTGTCTACGTAAGACTATCGACTTACGGGTCTGTCCCTATGAAATGTAACCCCAAATATTGGGCGCAGATTTGAAGCTTTGTGTAATGCTTGGATTGCTTTACAGACCTGCTGAAGACGTTCTGCTGGGTCGATACGGAATCCAAGGACATATTCCCCACTCTGCAAGATATTTCAGCCAGTTTGAGGGTAGTTTACGAGCAAATCTGAGTACTTGGACTTTTTATGTAGGTAGATATTTGGAGCTCTAACTAAGCCATTGCTCAAGCGGCAGGCGCTGATTGGTTATCTCTAACTGGGGTAAGTACTAGACGAAAATTTGAAGATGAATTTTTCGGCGTGTCCAATGGCCTAGTTGACGGTTGAATCATGAGGAAACCCAAGTACCTAAGTTTGTCTAAATATTACCTTAGCAAGTTAAGTTCTGAAATCATGACTCTACCTGGGTAGTCGTTTCGATCACCAAAGCAAGACCAAACTTCGATTCTCTGATTCTGCACGAGAAAAGCTGCAAGTAAGGCACTGACACATTGTAGAGGGAGTTCGTGCTCGCAAACCATACGAGTCGCACGTTTGTGATAACAAAGCAACCCAGCGTACCCTGTAACTCATAACGGTACAAAATAACAAAATAATGCAGACAAAACCTGACTTGATCAGTACTAAGGTTCCATACTCCCTCGACTTTTTCCACCAGCTGCTCCAATGGCAACAACTTGAGATTGAAACTATCATCCACTATGGCTCCACGCATTTTGAGTTCGCGGTACAATTTTGTGGTCTCGTAAGCGCGATGTACAGAGTTGACCGTATTGAACAACTTCGAGTGCATCTGCAGGATATTTAATCTGATACAACCACATCAGCTCTGACAGATGTCATAGCAACAAGAGATGACTTACGCCACTCGTCATAGCCGTGAAAATGAACTCAAATTTTGTTGATGTACTAGGAGCGCGCGCCATCACATATAGGGCTTCAACTTCGGTTCCACGTACTTTCTGAATTATTCTTTTCATCAAACTCAAACTAAGAGCTCTTTTGTACCAAAACGTACCGAGACCACTTCTCTGCTCTGAAGCCCTGTGATGTTACCGTACCCAATGGACAGATTTATTCTTGGCATGGAGCTTGCGTACCAAATTAGGCGTAGATTGGTCACCCGCATTACTCCTTAACAATCATCTGCTTATGAACAAACTGAACTACGATTGATTTTAGTCGTACATTTAGTAGCTGTCACGAAAGTTTCTCCCATTTTTTGGCAATTTTCAAAGTCCATAGAACCTAATGAAAAGATTTAGCAGTCCACCATCCACTTTTTGCATCTCCCTTTTCAGTCATTACAAGTATATTTGGATAGGCTAAGATAAAGATACTGCGAGTTTTCAAGATTTTACAGTTGTAGAACTGTCAGAAAAAATGTCGATAAACCCTCATTTGAATGACAGTGACTGCTCACCTCTATCTCCATTGTTCCCTTTAGTGTCCTCTATCATGTCCATGCGATCTATTTGTATTTCACCCGGGACAAGACGCAACATTCTGAAACGAGGCAATTCTGAACTCGTAAAAATTTTGAGATCGCTTCCGCAACACCCCACCTGTGATCAACATCGAAACGTATATCCTTGTCCTGCCAGAGTTCATCTCCATTTACCTTTTCTCCTGACATGACTCTGACCAAGAGCCACTAGAGTAATCCCGCTTGCTCAAAATCAACGCCAGGTATCCATAGCAACCGTAACTATATCCACACCCCATACGCTGACCAAGCAAAGAACAAGAGAGAAATTTCTGCTGCCCATGATGTCAACCTTATCCATAGTGTTTCGTGTGAACATCTCTGTCTTTGATTTGATCATCAAAAAAACACTGGTCACAAGAAATAAAGTTTATCACAAGCAAATCACATTGATGCAACAGGGGAGATTAGAAGAAAGTAATGTACATATCATGGATATAACGGAGATGCGGTTAACCGTAATACTAGTGATGGTTATGCTATGAGAAGGAAAAACACCCCGCCTGAAGAACTTGATAGTTGCAAATAATTTGAGGAAGTCATGCGCGATATGTCGTGATCAGCTGGCAACTCCTTGAGCGTATGTTCCACTTGGTGGTCGAAAAACCTATAAAGCAGTACCTAGCAGTAAAGTAGATTCTGACCGCAAAAAGATCTGCCTTGATAGTCAAGATCTTGGACAAGAACACAAAACCTACCTTGGGAAGGAAATGCATCTGAAAGGGACTGAAAGAATACATTGCTTTGCCAACATTTTTTCGGCAATTTTCTCTTCGAGCTCCATCTCTCCTTAGCGATGCAATCACTTCTTGGAGCTGTAAGTATAGGAAATTGCTAAGACGATGGATGATTTTTTTACGAGTCAATCAAAAAATGAGTTGCTTTGTGAAAGACCAACACGTGCCTGATGCCACACCCTTCAACAACATTTCAAGTTTCAAATTTCGAGAAATTCGAAGGACGTAATGAGTGAATTTGTAGCAGCTTGCACAGCGATTTTCTTTTTGGATTCAAATGGGTAGTGAAGATCTCTCATCTGTCATGGGGAGAAGAAACAAACTGAAACAAACAAAACAGGGACATCCCACCTGCGCTGCATTGAGGCCACATGTTTCCCGCAATAACCGTCCCTGTTCTATCGTGACAGCCATGCCAGTACGGTCTTTTCCGCTTTTGCAGCAGATTACTGCTTGTCCTTTCAATGACTCACATGACGCCATTGCCCATTCGTAGATAGCAAGATTTTTCCTTGATGGTTCGCTAGCGACCTTATATGGAATGTTTGTTCACAAGCAGTGTTTTTGCATGAAGGAGAGAAACCTACAGCATTAACAAGTTCCATGACAGCGTCTCTAGCGCTTTGTTCAACAGTATAGCGATTTGAATACGACAACAGTCTCTCTGCGCCCTCTTGGTTGATAGAAGTCTCCAGTGCGACGCCGCCAAATGATTGTCCCAAAGTTGCTTCATGGTTGACCTAAACGTCTTTCAACCGAATGCTGAGATGGGCACTCCAGCAGTGCTACTTAAATCAAAGACTACTCACCCCAATATTGAAATAAGCACAACGAACAGAGATAGACTTCCGAGATTTGAGCGAAGCAGGAAGCGAATCATATATGCTATGAGGCAATGGTATTGAAACCTGGGATTCAACCGTAAATTCATTACATTTGCAGAGGACTTTGGATTGAGACATACACTGATTTGCGTCCGTGCACCAGATAGAAGAGGTACGCAGGTTCGACAAACTTGTGATGGAGCGCGGACTAGACAAAAGGTTACTCTTGACTCAAGTTGGCGCCAAGCCTCCCATGCGTCCTCCGCCATTCCCTTTTCATCACCATAAGCGGACAAAAACGAGAAGATTGTGAGAAGAAGATCGCCAGCAAAACCTAAAAGAATGGCTATGATTTCAAAGAGCTAATTATAGAGCTGCCTTCATGCAAGTACTCTAAAAACACGACTACTTTCATTGCATAACAACTTGTTTCGTTCTACACTTGGTAATACATCGTACGCTAAGCTAAGCATCGCTTTAGCATGAACCTCAGCCGTTACTCGCGCCCATTCTCCCCCCCCCCCCCTCCCTCACTTTCAGCCTGCTCACACGCACGCAATTCAGCTTCAGAATGGATAAGGATTCACTAGAGTCAAGGTAAGCAGAGCCCAAAAACTCAACTAAGCCCTCTTTATCCTCAGTATACCAACCCTAGCACATGCTTCCGGATAAATTTTTGCAAAAGTTTAATTGAGTCACTTCAGTCTACGATCGAGTAGAGTGGAGTCATCGTTCAATCTAGAACGTACTGTAGGGAAAATCGCAAAAAATACGGCGCTAAGAGTCCGCCCGCGCAGTTCAACCAGAAATCCGCTACAAGACCTCAACTTTGAGTAAAACTAAACGAATAACAAATAAAGAGAAATATCATCGGACAAACACAAGCCGTATGACTTACCATCAAAAATAGGCCAGCCCCTGTAAACTGCGTCAACGACGGCCGTGGCTGCAATGGTGATAGCCTGAGAGAGAACAAAGTCTGTCCGAATTTGGATATGGAAGTAGAGGTGAGCCATCGAATGTTTGTGTAATTCGGTCACTGAAAAGTATACATGATACCTCATGACTTACAATTGAAAAAAAGCAAATGTACAACAAATGGAACATGAGCAGTACCTAATCCAAACAGTTGTGCTTGCAAAAATGACTCCGCCAACACTAGCAACGCATCCAAGCAAACACATATAGCGTCCTGGACCGATTTTTCGTAAACTTCACTCTTGCTCTGGATGAAACAAGCAGATCAAATAGGCAATAACTATTAGACAAACAAACCTGTTCATCTTCGATTCTGTCCATAACTGCTACCTTGGTGCTCAAGCTGACTAGCATCGCATCAATGGTATCCAACTGATTTTGAAGACCATCAGGTACATCCTTTTCGATCTGAAGACTTGAGTTAACGTAAAAAAACATCTAAGAAAATACAACGAGAAAAGAAACTACGTTCTGTCCCAGGAACAACCTTCGCTTCTCGTCTTCCACCAAGATATCAGCATAATTCTCCACATCAGCGACACTTTCGATCAGCTCTTTCAATCGCTCATACGTCTAAAACTACTGTATTGTAAAACTAGTACTTAAACAACTGTAGACTCTCACGTCTTTGATACCAGCTGAGATATCCGAGCAAAGCAACCTGCGAGCCTCAACGTCTCTTGTCCATTCGACTTCTAATCTGGATACGTAAACAGTCCTCGTAGACATAACCGCAATATCATCATGTCTACCTGTGATTGAGTTGTCCTATGTATTTCTTCAAATCCACTGCGGCTTGTCGGTTCGAAAAGAAATTGAAGTCGTGGTACGACTGACTTATCTCCAAGATTGTAAGCAAGCGTGTCAAACCGCCACTCTAAATTACGTCGTAAAGTGGGTGTCATTAAGATAACGAGCACAAATTTGTTCTAAATGGGTGAAAGTGATAGCCATTTGCGTGCATGTTCAATATTGACAGCTAGAGCTAGTAGACCTAAAGTGATAGCTATGCGTATTAAATTTTCCATTTTCCAACTCGTCCATTTCACCGTTCAAATCGGAAATTGAAAAAGAATCGGAAATTGAAAAGGAATAATGTAACAAACAGCAAAGGGACTAGCATCGAAAAAAAACATCAGAATAATTTTCTTTCTTTGCATTGTAGACTACGATTTGTAAGGAGTATGACATAGAAGAGAACAGGACTAAAAACGAAATCAGTAGGGCAAACATTTAATATGTCACTTCCCTTCCCTATTACAAACCTACTCGAAAGCGTTCGGCCGAGCTAATCAATAAAGCTTCTCCCTAAACCAGGCTGCATAATCAAAGTGCCTACATTATACTATCAGAGAAATGAAAAGGTACATAACATATTAAAAGTGATTACCTGGAAACGAAGAGGCAAACAAGAAGCGGTGCCGCAACTGATGACACTTTGCGAGGCTCGCTGATCCACAATGGAGGAATGAACGTGAAGGTTGGTAGGCACAGGAGCAAATGCAACTCGATGTTTCTCCATAGACTTACGAAATGGTGGACCCTGTGTATATATCTTCGGAACATCACAGGATAGGAAGAACATGAACTAACGGAGTAATTTTGAAGAAATTCTGCACACTGTTCAAGGGTCTCGGAGTTTTCTCGAACTTCTCTAAGGACGTCATGGAGCCCATTAATAGCAAATGATGGCCAGCGTCGCTGCCGTGATTCCAGCAGAGCAGCAAATCTAGAATTTGAGTTCTGACAGTGGCAAGAATGATTTTGACCGCTGAGTTGCTGACAGTTGGTAACAGCCAGTCTAATTTCTCAAAACTTCTATGTCTAACTCACTCAGTAATCCATTTTTTGTACAACTTCACAAGTTCCAAAGGTATCACGATGGATAATTTGGACTCGGACATTGTTTCAGAAAAAGAAACGCGGCGAGCAGGCAAGTAATTCTGCTGAAACACACAAAATCATTTGAACTTGAAGCTAAGGTGTAGAGTATTAGAATATGAGAATAAAAACTGAAAAAAAATGCTGACTTGTGATAAGGCGAAATTATGATTGACTGTGTGAGGATTTGTTAGGTAGAAAGAATTGATGGACTTGGATTCTTCTGCGTCGCCATCTTGTTTAGTGCCCATTGTGTAGAACTTGTATGCAGTTTCGTCAAGCTGCGCTCGAACCATTTGATGGGAACAGGTGGCGATCTTAACAAAACATATACTAAACAGGGTAAGGAGTAAACCAAAGCCTATACACTTTGACCATCCAACATTCTCGGTCTTTCTCAGAATCGAAGTGCAAGATGAGGTTGTCAGCTGGATCCGGGAACGACACGAGGCAGGCGAACGACGAATCCTACGAGAAAACAAACAATTAGCCGCATAAAAAATGAAACTCAGCAAGTCGCACCTTTGTTTCGTACTTACGCACTGTTGCTCCTTCTATCACAAAAAGCAGAGGCACTTTAGCGTCGATAGTAGAGACGCAGGTCAAGAGATTCCCTCGAAGAGTCAGCTGAAAAACCTCCGTGCAGTGAAGTTTGCCTTTGCGAGAAGCAAAAAACCGCTTACTTCAGCGTTATAGGTCTCGTCACGGAAATCAACGGAGACCTGCTGCTGTGCAGAGCCCAGAGTGCTGAACCATTTGAAGATATCGTGGGCATTATCCTCCTCCATAAAATGACTAGAGATGCGACGGAGCCTGAGAAAACCGCTGCCGGAAAACAAAAACACCTTTGGTAAGGTGGTCAACACCTGGCGGATGACGCACGATGTTTGCAGGATACGCGCTCCAAACGAGATTCGATAGTCCCTTTAACAAAATTGATGCGGCAGCAAAATTCCTCCATTCCTTGGGCATTTGTGAATTCTCTACTAATCAGCGTTTCTTTCTTTATTCCTCTCACTCAGTCTGTAACTAAAAGGTTTTCTGGACAAAAAGAGCTGAAAGTTGTTTTGACTGACACGCCAGGAATTTCTCAGCCTGCGATTGCCTCCGCGCTCACTTGTTAGATTATATCATAACGTGCATCCCCAGAATTGTTCCCATATGAACCATCAACGTGGTTGCCTTTCGATCATTTTAACACGTCAGCTTTAGCAAATTTAAGGTGCTTATTCGAAGTTGGCTTGTTAAAATGATCGAACGGCAACCACGTATGGGAACAATTTTGGGGGATGCACCATATGTTCGTCATTTTTACTCGGCATTTAAAGGTTTTATACTAGTTTCCACGCACTTCTAGCTTCATCTATCCTATCTCATTTCTCCAAAGTGACAACCGCAAAAAGCTGTAGGAGGAATAGGTAACAATTTTATACTGTGAACATTGCGATCTTGCACTTTATAATATTTTCATGGTTTTGGAACATTTCTAATTTCCAGTTATTATTCTTAGAATTCATCTCCATCACCTCTTATGCCATGATTTGTGATAGGTGAGCATCTCTAATCTTGCACGTGATTTGCAATCCGCTGTAATTGATCGCCTAGTTCCGATCCTTTTTTCTCCTGTGCGTAGTCGAGGCTCTTGCAAGTGCTCCTTGAAGTGCAGAACGGACGGCGTATATTAACAAGTCGGAATAATCAAAGTAAAGGTTTTTGCAAAGCAAGAGCTAACCCTCTCGTTGCAATGAAGGTAACCCTTCCAAACTCTGTATGCAATTAGTAGGTCGATCCGAAAATAATTTTCGTTGCTTATGCTACCAAAGCATGTGAATGTAACAGGAAAATACGTGAAGGCCATCATTCGATAGAATAAAGCGAGCTCTATGAAGTGACTACCGCAGAGCTATCTGAATCTTTGATCCAAATAAATTCTCAAGCCGAAATCTGTAAACATTTCACTACTTCGAAAAATGGATTTCTGCGCGGAGAATTCCTACGAGCTCCTACTTGGTTAACACGTAGCAGATATACAGTGACATTCATGCACTAGTAATTCTTTCGCAGTTAGAATCTCAGAAATTATGCAAGAGGAAGTTGGTAAACTTCGCCTTTAGAGATGCAAAATTTTTTTCATCTTAGGTGTTGTATAATGTAGTCTTTGATTCAGCTGGCTTGGCTCCTGAAAGGCGGGGCTTTATGGCTTGATTGAGCCCGCTCGCACCCGCGACAAGTCTGCGTCTCTCTAGCGCGCTTGCTCTCTGGTCATTATCTAGCCTCAACTAGGTCAAAGGCGAAGCCCCGCCTTCCAGGAGCCAAGCCAGTTGAATCAAAGGGTAGTCTTCGCAAACATGGCTGTGAGATTACAGCTAGATATGCTTGGTATCGTAGAAAAATTGATTTAAGCATCATAAATCTGATCTATGGACATTATTTTTGCATCATAATATCTCACTTCTTGGCATTCATTCCATCAGTGCCTTATTTGACGTCCAACATATGAATCCTTGTGTGCTCATTTCCTTCGGCGGGCTCGGTTTATCCACCTCGTAAACGATCGCTTCTCATCTTATCGTTCTGCTCACTCTAGCATAAACGCTTTTGTCATTGCTGGATTGACATACTTGATTTTCTCACGATTAATCACGTTTGTCCACCTAATCTACATGTAAACCCCACTTTTATACTTTTCTCATAGAATTTCCTGTTCATCAGATGCTTCTTTCGTTGCAGATGTTCGGTGCAGTTTGCTTGTTTCCGTGAAGTTGCACAGGTCGATCTTCGTAAAAGAACCTTTTCACGTTGCACATGCCTTTTTCACCTTGCCAAAAGTCCTCTTCAAAACATTTATAGATCAAGAGTAATCTGCAAAAATCTTCATCACTACAAATTTGTCAACACCATATTCTTAGGTGATTGGATGATGCGGAATAGTAAAGCTAATGTGATAGAATAATAGTATTTGTACTGGTACGGCATTTATTTCACTCTTGCTTATTTGTACCATGCCAACGTACTTCTGTGCCTCTTGCTTAATAATGAACATGAAAGCGAAAATCTTGTAAAATACTTTATTTTACTTACCTTATTTCATCGCGGGAACAATCACCATGTAAGCTTCTTTGTTTCTTTTCGATGTGTTATATTGTTAAATAAACAAATAAATGATTTTTTGCTCCTATAGCCCATAGAGACTTTTTCTACCCTTTCCTTTGAAAAATTTTCACTATTTTCTGCAACATTCATGTTACTGTAAAAATCGCTGATGAGATTAGCTGGTATGCAACTATTTAAGTACTACTTTTTTAACGCTAATTTTGACACCGTAACAGAGAAAGGTCAGGATCGACTTTTTATTATTTTTATTATTTTTCAATCTTCATCTCCTCATTATCTGTATTTTAATTATTCAAAATGTGCGGATCCTTGAAGCCCTTCAAGATTGGCATTCAATCACTTTGAAAGCATATGCTTCAGAAATGTATCCAGCAGGCAAAACATCCCAGTAGAAGCCGTAAATCTGGCAAAGGATAACCAAGACATCCAGCTAACCAACACATCTGTTTGGCATTTTCACAGGGCTACAGTGACATTTCAAGTACTTGTCTTCACCTTTCTTAGCGGCATTCGTAAAATCGTTTTAGGTTTTATGACCGCCTCGTAAATCAACAAGCTTATTCAGCTCTCACTATATCAGACAGTCTTTTCTCATCTCTAGAGTAAAATTTTACCGTTATTTTGAACTATACGCTATAGAACTCACTCTGGTTTTTTATCTTAACCGCAGCAAAATAATTTTTGTGTTGATACAAGTTTTTGTTTTTAAAGCATCACGTATGAGATTTATCGAAAGCGTGAAAGCGTCTTATATTTTTTCTTTTTTTTTTTTGCGGTCACTTTTTGAACCTGTTTCATGTGCAAGTCTGCTTTAGTGGTTTATGGTCATTAGCGTAGTTGTCGATGGTTGGTGGCTTATAAACATCTTCTGCCACTTTGCATAATTCAGAGCTGTACCTTCATCTTCCTACGGACATTGCTTGAGCTGTTCTGTACGCGATCGTTCAAGACATCAACTAATCGAGCATTATATTGGGAAATTGCAGTTAGGTATTGTAAAACATTCTCGATTTTTGAATTTAGTCCTGCATCTAATGCATTTGATTTGAAGCTGAAAGTGTTTTGCTTTCCTGTCGGGTTCTCTAAAGCTTGCCAGCTAATTAATTTTATTATCGAAATGGTACGGATTTAAGCCTATCGCATTATGCGGCTCACTAGACACAAATTCTTCCTAGAGCCTGGAGCTGAATGCTGCCGATCTTTTCAGCCAGCAAAAATTCCTTTACATTTGATTCATTCGATCTTTTGGCTACTTGTGTGCTGTGAACGTGTTTCTTTGCACCCTTTTGCCTTTTAATGTCATACAACATAGTCTCGACATCGTGCTATGGGCTTTGACGGGATGAGATCTTGGTTTTACAAGGATTTCATTAGCAGAATTGATCAAAGGCAATATTTCCAATGCGGATCTTTACGTGTGTCTCTCAACCAAACATTTTATTCCAAGAGGCACTCTCAAGTTGTCATTGAAATAAATCAAAGGTGTGACTCATAAAACCAACAGACAAGTTTATTCAAGACTGATTATGAGTCAAAGCGGCATTGCTGTTGAAATCGTCAATTTATCCCATCTTTACCGCTTCTTTGGCTTACAGAGTAGTGAACAACTTTTTTTGGACTGACCCGTTTTTCAGATGCCACCCATGCTTTTGCCACAACGATTATGAAACAGCGAACGGCTTTGGGTCAGCCTGACAAGAAGGAAGGGTACTCGTTATCACGCTCGACATCCTCGGGTCTACCTGTGATATCCTTCCAGCAGTATGTGCAATCATGGTCTGGAAAGCAGATCGCTCGTTGGGTCGAAGGTGTTGTTTTGTCTTTTTGATTTTGAGAGTTGAGAAACGACAGTGCAATCTACCTTTTCTCCGTTTTTTGCCCAGAAATGGAACCCAGTTAAAGTTTTTCTGCTCTGGTACCGTGTTATAAGGCTGGCTTGCAATTTAGATTTAGGTTGCAAGATAAAGAGATTGCTCCAGTGGCTGCTAATTTGCTCGAAAAGAACTCTGAAAGGACAAAATTTGTTATTGGAAAATTACGACTGCTTACTCGAGCAATGAACGTTTTTTTAACCGTGATTTCCCCAAAATTTACGACAATATCCCTCGTGATCCACTAATCCTTGGAACAATCTTACAACCTTGTACGAAGTTATTTGATGAACTCATTGGATTGAGAATCTTGTCGTAAAATTCTCCACTTGTTTCGCGAAGTTTCGGAATATCCATTTTGCACTAAAGCCATTATGTTAAAAGCCAATGATCTACAGTAATCGTACACTAACGAAAAACTCTGATTTCCTATGGGCTGCATATCTAAATGCTCAGCCATTAAAATGATGCCCAAAGTTTTGCGAAAAGTTTGAGACAACGGATTCATTAACGAACAAACAATATGCACGTTATTGGGACCACACTATGCTTCATTTTATTCTTTTTCGTTCATATTCTACCTTAGTATTTTAGGACTCGGAGATGCAATGAATCCATATCTTGGAACTATTCGTGACAATATACGAAGTGGGAAACATCTACACCTGATTGACGATGAGACATTGGCGAACATTGGAATCACAGCACTTGGACCGCGAAAAACAATCTTGCAGGCTGTTCAGCTGCTTCTGTACTTTGTAAGCTCATGAGACTTCCATCAAAAGTGAGAATTGGTACCTGTAATAACCTATTTGCAGTGCGCTGAAGCTCCTTCAGAAAACTTGCAAAGCTTATCCATGAAAGTTGTAATCGCTTGCAAAGCAGCCTCACAAGAGCTAGAAAAGGCTTTGCGATGCAAAGACGAGAAGGTGAGTTTAGAATTAATTTGAACTTCGCTCACTTGAAGTATTCTTCAGCCGCTGACCAGAGTTCATGTAGTGGCCGTGCTGAACAGTATCTCATTGTCGATGTCCGTTTTGGTTGAGCACGTGAAGAAACTCCTTTTCTGGCTGGATAGGTAATCTCGTAATGCAAAGCCCGATTAGTTTAGCAAAATTTGTTCCAGAAGTCCATTTGACGAGCTTGTGCAGTACATCGAAATGCGAAACCGCATTTCTGTAGCTATATGGGAATTGGTGCGCAGTGTGAACGTCCAGCCAAAATCTCTATTCGAGTCAGCGTCAGAGGTCATACAAGTAAGTGTCTTTGTTGATGGTTTGACTGTTCGGGGTCTTCCACAGTGACATAAATTATCTATCCCGGAGAGCTTGAGAGTTCAGCAATGGGATCATCATCGTTGAACGGTGGCTAGATTGGCTACAAAGAAGTTTTAGTCGAAATTATCTTAATTTTATTCGTCCAAATCAATCGTTCGACTCAGTGATTGTCATATGTCCTCAATACATAACAATAAGGCAGAAATCAATGTTAGTAAAAATTTGTAGACGATTTATCTGTTGTTTCAGTGCTCACTATATAAAATGAATAGGCAAGAAAATTTTACTAATTTTGATTGTAAGAAGCGGAATGGCCTTGTGGAATTTTTGGCGGCTGATTTTTGCCACATCGCACGATTAAAGCTTGGAAAATTTAAGAAGCATCCATTGGAAAGACGCTAACTTTTGGCATCGCCTTTTGCTGTGATTGAGACAATTTTTTTCTCAACGCTTTCTCAGTTATTGGCTTGTAATACAGCGAGAATTAGCAAAGACTTATGAATGTTATTTTCATGATCACAGTGTTGCACTACGGCAGAGGATATGAAAAAAAATTTTTAGAGACTGTTGCCAATTCTTTTTTGAAGTGTAGTGAACACACGAACACACTTTCTAAAAATAGCTGGAAATAATGTTTTTTGGTATTTATTTACAAAGTTTTGTTGCAGCATTGAATATTACTTTTTTATTTGTCCTAAGCTATTTTGTCAGTTTCCGATATTACTGCTAAAGATGACATTTGCAGAAGTGTAACTCCTTGAGAGAACTCTGTTTGAATCTTGTTCAAAACAGTGACGATCCTGCAATTCTCTACACCGCCTACATCGAGCGAGCCCTTCTACGTAGGCACGACGTTACGACCAACTGGGTAGGTTCATTTACTTCGCCAGTTTCTAAACGTATCCGCAACGTCCAATTTAGGGGATCAACTTGCAGTCGTCATTTCGTGGGGTACATGTCATAAGCGAAGTGAAAGTGGGATCGCCTGCGGATTTGTGTGGCCGCATCGACGCTGGCGATGAGATTATGCTCATAAATGGAAAAACGGTAAGAGAGCATTGTTACCCATTTCTTACGTTGACGTCAAATGAGGAGCTTTTCAGGTCCTAGGATGGGATTTGACTCGAGTTGCTCAACGCCTTGGCTCCTCCACCGATACTGAACTACATTTAGTCCTCAATAAGCGTCCTCGTCATTCGCTACCGCTTCCTATGAAGAATGCTGGCCCGAAGCAAACTCGTCCCTTAGCAAAGATGATACCTGGAAGCCAAGCAACGGACACAGCTGACAGGGGAAAACGCATATTCAAAGTAAGGCACAATTTTATATTCGTCAGTTAGGTTCAGATTCTGACTGATTATGATTAGCTGAATTTAATATCGTCAGTCTTTTAACTTTATTCAACACCTACGACCACACCGCCCTCAGACCAGAGCCAGTTTCGCTATCGTGGCTTGCACTTATCGGGTTTTCGAAATTTTTCAGTGTTCATTGCCTGCCTTGGAAACTTGTTGAATATTCCGCTAACGAAAAAAATTTGCATATCTTAGGCTCATAGGCTTACGGCAGTCATGAGATAAAACGTCAAATCACGTATTTCCTCGGTTAATTACGAAATTGATGTGCATCTTGTTCGATATAGTTTTACGGTGGTATTATCTACTTTGGTCACATCAAAATCTTACACGATTGAATGAAGTGCGTAGAAAAATGAATGAAAATCTCCATAACTAACACTACTTCAGGATACCAGGTGGGTATTTGTCTTTTTGAGGTAAAAAACTATAAATAGAAGAAATTATAAATCTGTCAGCAAACTTGTGTGTGCTTCATTAGGCTCTGCATTCTCTGAGTAGTGTGAGATCCCGAAGGGCACCAATCTCAATGGTCTTTTTGAATTTGTTAGAGATGACTGTTATCATGGAATATTGTAGGATATAAATTACCCTCTCAACCGCCGTCGTTCATCCACCTTCATCACGAAATTGCTGAATCACATGGAGAATAACGGGTGAATACTCTAGTTTTATCTGTAACGAATGACTAATCGAAATCTTATACAGTGGTAGAGTACGCAGTACAAGACGTTCCTCTGTAAGTGGTGGTAGTCCGCGCAGAGAGCTTTCTTTCGAGGAAGACGATCGCTCGCATGTGAATTGGGATCTCTTCGATCTGATTGGGTAGGAATTTAGTTCACCATAAAGGTTTGTGAATTTATTCGAATAGTTCTAGGCATCCAGCAGCTGACAATGAAGGATCTATCACCATACCTCGAATTGTACGCCGTGCGCGCACAATGCGCCATCAACCCGATGGATACGTTAGATCCTTCATAGACAACAAACTTGTGCATGAGATTGAGGAAGACATCATTGCGGAGCAGCTGCCGTTCAACGTCAAATGTGAGTTTTTTGTGCTTAGTAGTGCTGCTTGAGTCCAATTATGTAACCTTGAGGTCCAACGGAGTTTGCCGAGGTGTCGATTGTTGAACCGGCGGAGCTCAGTCATCTTAATGTAGTCGAACCCAGTTGCTCGGATCCGGATTGGAGCGCCCCATTTGAGGAAACTTCTATTCCAAGATTCCGAGCTCCTGCCGGTGATTCCAATCTTTCGGGCCTTGTACTAGATTCACCAAGGTAAACCTTTCATGGGAATGATTATATGATGAATTTGTTTTTTTTAGGTACCCCAGTTCTTCAGTAGGAGAAGATTTTATTCTGCCGAGTCCAGCCTCATGTAGTTCCATGTCCATCTCTAGTCCGAACCCATTCCGGCTTGCCGCATCAGGGGAGTGGCATACCGATGAATCCCCGACAACGCCGGGCACTCCTGACACGAAAACAGCAGAAAAAGCATTCGAAGGATGGGTCAGGCGAAGGTACGGAAGATATGTTGCTTGTGTTGCTTTTCTGCAAATGATCGTGTTACAGAAAGACTGCAAAGGAATTGTTTGCGAAGGAGGTGACCAACAAATGGCCGAAGTGTTGGATGTGCCTACGAGGACCATTTCTCAACATCTACCCTAATCAATTTGTATGTGCTCTATATTCCAGTATATCAAAAAATGCAGATTTTGCAGACCCGTCGAGCTGATATGATAATCAACGTTGCGAAATGTGTGGTGTCAGACGAAACAGATCTGAAAACTTCAAAGAAATTGTACGTTCAGTGGCAGTAACCGAAGTGTGTCATGTCTTAACTTCCTCGATTTACAGTGTCTTCCGCTTGTCAAGACCACCAATCGAGTACCATTTTTCATGCTACAATCAAACTGATATGAGAACGTAAGTGACGATTTTCAAGTCCTTTCTCGGGTGAACTTAGTAGAACTAAATGAATGTCACCGAACTTCAAATTACATTTTTGTGTTAAGAAATTTTCAAAATCGAGCTAAGCTGGATTTTGAATAACCTTATCTTCCAGGTGGATCCACAAAATAAAGGTTGCCAGCGAAATGTATGGAGCGCAGAATCGTGGCATGTCAAAGTGTAAGTAAAATTCATGTGTTGTAGTCTCTCTGAACATTGTTCAAAGCAGTAAATTTGTTCTTCAGGTTATGTGAGAAAAAGAGTTAATTGTCAGACTCAAAGCAAGGCTAAAAGAATATCTTTTTCTGGAGAAACGTATGAGAATCTCACACGCATATTTTATAACTAATTCAAAAGAGGCCCTTACGCAAGCTCTTTGAAGAGGAGGAAATTCCGAAGCATACATGTCTTCAATATCTCTATCACATGGCCTACTTAGTTTATGACTAAATAAGGATTTTTGCAGTAATTAGGACACAAACGAACATGTCACTTCTTGATTTTTTGGTGCTTACGATTAGTTATGCTGTTTTTGATATTTCTGAATGAGCTCAGTCCACATTCAGTGCGTTATACCATGTCATGTTAAACAAACCATTTCTGCGTTTGTGATTGATTTTAAGATTGCCATCTGTCGTAAATTGACAATTCTAGCCATATCTTATTTGGAGAGCGAGCACGTCGATCCGTCCTCAGAGCACTACAACACGCTCGCTGGATTACCGTCATCAATGACCCATAGCCATGTAAGTTCTAATTTATAAATGCAGTGTCTGACACTGATTACCGGGGTTTTCATGATGAGGAAAGTGACCGGGAGGCCTTCACTAAAATATTAGGTTGTTACATAAGTCTTGTTACACTTTAATTTGTTAGGACGATTAGCCATGATCTTCATAATTTTAATAGGGCTCCAGGGTACCATTCGATAAAGCAAAGCAAGCTCTACAAGATAGTATGCAAGAGTTCGCACCAACTCCGACCCACTGTAACTTTGCATCCAAAATCTGAATCGTAGTGAAGGCTTAAAAATTGCAAGAAATTCATATCCTTAAGAAAAATCCTACGTATCTCCAACTTGCTCATAAAAATTGCCCACTATATCAGACACTCATAAGTACCGTTTCTGTATTTTTTCCTCATCTAGAAATCGAAAGTAGAATTTTTTTAGTTTTTACAAAAACGAAGCTGTGCTGTTTCTATTCGTGTAGCTATATACTACAAGCTCTTAGAAGTATCACCGTGAATTTTAAGCTTTCCAAAAGCCCTAGCTTTCGAAAAAATACCAAATTTAGTTTCTCTCACTCGGGTGTTCAATGCTAAATTAGGTAATTTTCGAAAACAAGAGCTTTTGGAAAGCTGAAAATTTACGGTTACACTTGCAACGGCTCGTAGTATACAGCTACATCAATAGAAACAGCATAGCTTCGTTTGTAACTAAACAATTTCCTTTTCTCGATTATTAGATGAGGAAAAAATACAGAAAGGGTACTTATGAGTGTCTGATATAGTGGGCAATTTTTTTGAGCAAGTTGGAGATTCGTAGGGTTTTTCTGAACAAAGATATGAATTTTTCGCATTTTTTGAGCCTTCACTACGACACAGATTTTGGGTGCAAAGTTACAGTGGGTCGAATTTCGTGCGAACTTTTGCATACTATCTTGTAGAGCTTGCTTTGCTCTATCGAAGTCAGTCAGAAGAATTGGGTGGGGGAACGAAAGCCGCCAGGTCCATCCGCCTTTCGCGGCCAGCTGGTCCTTTCGCAGCGTTGTTGCATGTCGTTCCAGGACCAGCAGTCCGCGGAGGCGGCTGGACCTGGCGGCTTTCGTTCCCCCACCCAGAAGAATTAGTCATGCACCTCATATTCTTTACAGGGCTCCGGTATCCCGTAGCCCTGTAAAGAATATGAGGTGCATGACCTATCGTTGTTAGAAGTTAAGTGTAACAAGACTTATGTCACAACCTAATAAATGCGCGGCAGCTCCTGTAATCATTCGCGGGAGTTGCATCATTGAACATCGACCCATACCGTACTCCCTGCCGTGTCGCAGATGGTCTACTTACGAAGGGAACGGTCTGGGCTGGAGATGAAGTTGGATTTCTTGAGAGCAAACGTGTATTATGAGCTGCTGTTTGGACCATGTCTGAGCTAAAGCCTCCCAATCGGTATCCACTCCATAACTTAGATACTCACATTTGATGGAACATGCTGAACGTTTCTCTACAAATACTTTCCAGCATGAAGAATTGAGCGGCGCGTTCGCAGCTGCCAACACTCTTCCGCGTCCAACCGCAGGTCCCGCACCAAAGCATGGCAAAACGGGGGCACGATTCATTAGCAAGAAGTGATTTTAGCATCTTGACGCTAGTTAGGGATCAGTTCCTCTGTAGTCTTATAGATCAAAGTGTTTTTGCATTTTTCTCACGCTTACGGATTTCTTCTTATTGGCAATCTAGTCATCATTCTCGCACAGCTTTCCTACTGCTTTACTCGACCGCTTCGAAATCTCATTAGGCATTTCTTCACTCTCGCCTGTACATATAAGCTCTTTTCTTTTGTCTGTAATTGGATTCGATTGTTTGATTTGTTGTCTTCGTTGTGATATCTCGTATATTCACTAGTCCTGAATGAAGAGTTTCTCTTCTTCCTGTTTAATGTGATGAACGAAACAGTGCCTCACTAATACTTTATTATTTCTGATTTGCCCGATTTTATCCTTTTGAAACGTTTGTTGCAGGTAGATTTAGATGTGGGTCTTTTTGGTACTTCTAGCTTCTTTCATTATTTCTTCGTACTGCGAACGGGATACGGTTTCCATAGTGGATAGCGACAAATATTCTATAGCACGTGATAAGAAATTCTTGATATATGATATCAATCATGGCGAAGGATTCAATCTGAGAAGGGATGTATACATGCGCATTGCTAATGCTGTGAGATTATTGAGGGAATCTGGTGAGTTCAAATGGATGGAACTTTGTCCCGGGAGGGGGGGGGGGGGGGGAGGGTTCAGTGATCTCATGCACAAACTTTCATTTTTGGTATTGACTGCGCTAAAAAAACTACCGTAAATGTATGAGAAGAGTGGTAAGCAAATCTTTGTCTCAAAGTTTCCACTGTAACATGGAAGAACACTATTTGTATTAGTCAGCTCTTCTTTCGAGATAACTCAAGCTCAAAATCTTTCCGTAACCTCTTTTTTCCCAAGAGCCAATAAGCTGCTTTATCGAAGACGTTACCCTTATGAAAAGGTACATAACTTACCACCATTTATGGCATGTCTGGGTGTACTGCTGGATTTTTTTTGGAACAAAAAGAGCGAAGTGTTTGATAACTAGTTCAGCTGCTTCAATGAATAAAATCGGAGGAATTTGAACCTTGATTAAGCTTTCTCTATGCAGTGGGATTCCAAATGGCAAGACATGAATTTCCTTAGGAATTCTGTATCGAACTGGTCTCATCTGCAAAACTTTGTGAGAGTTTAGGAGAGCAGCTCATTGAGCTGTTTGATGTTCTAAAAGTCACCTTCAACAATTTACCTTTTTTTTCACAGTTTTTAGAGAGTGCCAACATTGTTTCCAGTTATGATGGTTTATTTCTGGTTCATTTAGATATTCTACTTTGATTCTTTTGCTATGCTTCTGAGAAAACATTTTTATTTGCGGAAAACTTTTCTTACATCATAGCTGTTTTATGGTTCCTTGACCAACTTCAACATCTAGGCGAACCATATGTTCTTGTCCTTCCGCCATGGGGAGGCCTGTATCATTGGCAACAACAGGCGGTGAAATTGAAATGGTCTGTCTTTTTCGATGTGCAAAGTATGAATGAGTTTGTGCCTGTCATGGAGTTTGAGGATTTTCTTGAAGGTAATGAATACACTGCAAATCGTTTATACAGAAATCCTGTAGTCTTGATTTTCGCAGTTATCGACGCAAAGTATGACTCTCAAACAAGAACGTATGTATCACATTCAGAAAATGGACATATCATAGACCAAGTTGTCTATCTACAACCGTATGAAGAAGGATGGACCAAGGAATATGTCCTTAAATATGATCACAGAGAATGCATCGATGGCTCGCGCTTCTACAAAAATGAGAACAATGCATGGTACGCTTCACAATTACTGTTGGAGCAAATATCACTCTTCAAGTCCTTTTCTAGGCGAGGATGGTTCTTTTCATTCAATGAAGTAAAAGCTAAGAATTTTGAATGTTTATCAGTGCAAGGAGATTCTGAGATTTTGAAAAAAATCATCATGAACGAATATTCTGACAAGTAAGCTCTGCTTTATATCGGTGATCTTAAGAGCAGGTAACATTTTTTCTTCCGAATCGGTCAAAAAACGGTTGGGCAGTTGCGGCGCGCTAAATGACAAGCATTTGGCGTTTGATGCAGTGTAGACGAAATTAATAATAAGCTGAGATAGTGCTAAATTACTTGATTACTGATGATCGGATGCAAATAATCTTGATAAGACTTCATTCTCGTTTACCGATAAATTTTGACATTTCTTTTGATCAACGAGTTTCTTGAGCCGTAGCCGTAGTGACATGTTTTTTTCAGTCTAAGAAAATGACGTTGTTACCACTCTTGGCTGCAGCTCAGGGAGTGCTAAAAATCTAGTTTGAAAAAAAGGAAAGGCAGAAATTTACGCTTCAGTGCGAGTACTGCTTTTGGTCTTACTACGAGACACCAAATCTCGAACGCACACAGTTTAGTGTGCCGCGTTTGATCAACCGATTCCGAGCTGATTTATAGCGTAATTGTTGCGCCCTGCTATACCGTAATCCTCTTTCGATTTAGGAGTAGCGTTTTCATTGATCGTGCGGAGGCTATACTTCATCAAAATTATGGCGATGTCTATTACTGGCAAGCAAGACGTAGTATGCGTTATGCAAAGTATCTAATTGAAGCTGGAAATGAGTTCAGGTAACAGTTTACTACCAGTGGCGTACCCAGGATTTCGGTTCGGGGGGGGGGGGGGGGGGGCGACAAAAATTTTTTCTAATGAAGGTGCGTGGCGTTAGCCACGCACTCCGAAAATTTTTTTGGGATGGTTTCCAAAATTTTTTCTGGCTTTGACTGTTTACTACCTATGTCGCGTAGTCTTTGACCATTATTGGAATTTTGAGACGACTGAAGTTGAGCTCAACTGATGAAACTGATCGAACGCAGTTGCCTCCGTCTTTTCGTGACGAACGGGCGCAGCGCAAAGCTTTGGGAGGCGACTATGTCTGTGCGCACTGGAGACGTCGCGATTTCATTCGTGCGCATGGGAAGGAGTTACCAAGTGTGAACGGAACAGCGACAAAGGTGCGGTGTTTTTTTCCCACAGGTAACTAATAGTAGATAATTATGAATGCTTGTTACATAAAGTCCATATCCGGACAAAAGCGGTCAGATAAGCGCGCGTGACGGGGCGCGCGAGCGGTAGTTGGCATGTGTGCTCCAACGATGATGCTTGCTTGGCGCCCACCTCGCAATCATCTGAAATAAGATCTTAGCATACGAGTTGGAAGGGAAATTGGAATATCAACACTCATATCACAGAACTAGTCTTTAGAAAACTATATCAGAGTTTATAACTGAATCACCTCTGAAAGCGCTTAGTCTCGCGTTATCCAATTTTTTGTCCCAAAATGCAGCGACAGTATGAGAGCAGACGAAACTGGTGCGATGGCAAAATTTATAGAGCTCAGAATCTCGCAAACCTCGCTTACTTGATCCACTTATCTAGATAATCGAGTTTTTCTGCACGCTAGGGCCATATTGTAGGGTTGGGTATGAGTACAGGAGCAAAGATGCATTTCTCTCACAACTGAATAAGTGAATATTTTCGCCGTACTTTCAGTAATTTCATAGAACAGCAAAAATTTTTTTTGCTATAGGATTTTATCGCGCGCACCCAGTAGATACTCCTTATCAAAGGTTTTCACAACTTTTTTCTAGGATGCGAGAACAGCACTAGGAAGTAGTATTCAATAAGTTTATCATAGCATAATTCTCTCTTAGCTGTGAAGGGCCTTATTAACTGTTTCAAATTGAGCCTGATAGCGGATGCCTGCAATCAGTCATTTTTTATCGCCGTTGTCTGCTTCCGTCGCAGTCTTCACGCTTTCGGAACTTCATAGATAAGGATCGTCATGGAAGATTGCGGTGAGCAGAGAAAGCTATGTATTGCCGCGAGAATGTAAGATGAATGCCCAAGTTTCATTGGATTTTGGCTAGGAAGCAGGAGAAGATCATATATATGTTAACAAAAGCTTCTCAGAATTTTTTTTTGAGTTGTGCTCCGCCTTGATGAATGTTTTCACGTGTCAGTCACAAGATTTTCATTTGATCTCAACATGACACTTTCTTATCAATACTAAGGCTTATCTGTATGTGTGTACAAGTGAGCATGGCTAGTGTGAAAAACAGTTTGTCCAAAAAACCAAGTGTTATTTCTGCGTGAGCTGATATTACGATGCTGGATTGGTGTCATAGTTGACCAATGAACGCGCACTAGCATTTTGAGATCAACTTATAACTTATATCAAATTTACAGTACAAGCAAGCATTCGGGTAAGATTTTTCTCAAACAAATGCGCAACTCAAATTCACTCACACAACTTCTTGTTCATTCTTAGATGCGCGTTTGGCTCCCGTTGGTTTGGGACTAACTGGCATTGTGTTATTTGAGTGTATAAGTAAAGTAAATTAAAGTGACTCAGCACTAACACTAGACACAGTGCCACTAGCTGAATTCGCACGCGAATAGGTAGTCATTATTATAAAATGTCTCATTGCTCATTTTTAGTAAATGTATAAGCAAGGTCCACAAGGCTTCTACCTCTCTACCGAGAAGAGATTAGGAGATTATTGAAAGTCTCGTAAATAAATTATGAAACGATTTTTTTGGACACTCTATTGGAAAAGTTTTGTACAATTTTAATCTTTGCAACTAATTTGTTCTGAGCATGTGACAAATTTGAGAGCTTCAAAAATTGTTTCGAAGGCGTGGTTGATGCTACGCCCTCTATTCAAAAAAAATCTGTCTGTCCAAACGAAACCTTTTTGAATCCGCCACTCAACAAGAGTGCCATTAGTCTGTGCGAATGTGGAAAATTGACACTATCGTTTCAAAATCTGTTTCTTTTTTGTTCATTTACTGAATTTTTTGCCATTCTCTTCTTTGAAACTTACAACAGAATTTTATTGATTTTACCTATGATACCCTACTATCTCACTTCATGATGATATCGGACTGAGCTTCCAGCTAAACGAACTATGTGACAAGATCGGTGTCTCCCGTGTGTTTCTTGCCACTGACGCTCCTGATTCCGAAGTTCAACAGCTCAAAGCCCTTATGCGCTATCCAGTTCTACAATACAAAAACGACAAACTTCCAGATGGTGCCGTAGCCATCGTCGACCAGGTCAGCTTCTCATAGCCACTTACAGCTTATGCTTAGTTAAAATCAAATCTGGAATAAATTTATAAATCAAACCAGACTCCGACAAAGACGACGGCATCGAAACTTTAGTCTAGTTAATAAAGGATTCCAACAACCTTGTTTCGGCTAAAAAGACGATCACAAGTTAGAATCAAATCTATTATTGTTTTAGTGGATCTGTGCCCACGCGCGTTACTTCATCGGCAGTCATGCGTCTACCTTTTCATATCGCATCCAAGAAGATCGCGAGATTCTTGGATTTCCGCCAAAAAGCACATTCAATCGTTTCTGCCCGGATGAAGTGAATGAATGCGAGCAACCCGCGAAGTGGACGATAGTCTATGATTAGGATCACTAGGGCTTTAAAGAGCATTTTTGAGTTTTCTAACTGTATCTCTTATAAATTAAAACGTTAGGATCAATAGTTTCATTACCTTAAATTATTGAACTTAAAACTTCTGTATATTTGTTCACATTTGCGGTGCTCTGCTTTGCCTTTATTTATTTGATGTGATCTGATACCTGATACTAAGCCTTTCATCATTACTTCCTTTCATCATTACTTAAGTTTTTTTTAGTTCAATTCAACATTTTTTCATCTCATCCCTACTCTCTGAACTTTGCCATTCTCTCTTTATTATTAACTTCGAAATCATCAAGCTTGTGAGACTGTTTGCTAATAGAATTGCTGAATAGCACTGAACTTTTTCCCATGTCCATGTTATCTGCATTTTTTATGACTTCCTTTTTCCTTCTGGCAGGTTTTTGCTACGAAAATTCGTAGCGAAATCATCCTTAGTTTTAGCTTCTTTAAATTCAGCATAATACTCAGTTTTTGAATAATAATTGCTGAACTGGTAATCTATTGAAACCTACTTGCCACTGCTACTTGATTAAATAAAAGGTTATGCTAATCAATTATCTTGTTGAATCGAAACTTTACTAGAATTTAGAACATTTTGGTGAAATTAATCACAATAAAATTATTTTGTTCATCTCACAGAACTATGAGAAAGTCGTAAGCAGTTATCAAACAACATCAAGACAACTTTGTGACTGACACCTTTATGACTGTAGTACACGTAGTCTTCAATAATCTCGAAGGTTCCCACTTCCTGATTACAAACTTGTGACGAAACAAATGTTTCTGTCATAAGATGCCTGACCAAACAAAGTTTGTTGTTATCAGCGAGAGATAACACTTACCAAAAAAGTACAAAAAGAGAAGCGTATCCGTCTCTGCCCTTCCGATGTTCCGTGTGGTGGTGCTTCTGGGCTTCTTGCTTCATGTTGTAGCCGAGATAGTCTATGTTCAAGTGATTTTTAGGTAGGAACTCTGATAAGTTAATTTTTTCCTCTTCAAAAATTCAGGTGAATTTAGGCATGGCGATCGAGCTCCGTCGGATGTTTATCCCTTGGATCCGTACGGTGAAGAGGTTTGGCCTCGTGGATTCAGCCAATTGACCGAAAAAGGATACAAACGCGCTCAGCAACTAGGGAAATATTTACACACACGCTACAGGACACAGCATCGTTTACTTGGCCAAAAATTTGAAAATAGAAAGGTCCGTTGTAATAATTTTGTCTTGGGTACGGTCAGAGTTCTGTGACTTCTTGGCTTCTGTGACTCCCTACATTTCTGCAATTCTTATGATTTATATGAATTGTGTAATTCCTGTCCTTGGAGCGCTAAATTTTCACAACTCGTGACAGGCACTGTTATTTCCTTATTTTCTTCTGTTCCTAACGTTATGGAGTTCTTGTGCTAAACTAGCAAAAAAATGCGCAAAATTTTGACTTCAAGACAGCCAACATCGTCAACATTCTTGTGAAGGCGGTAGTTTTCGCGCTTCAACGAAAACCCTGGAATCTGGAAAGCCAAGAAATCACATGAAACTTATAGCTGAACCCTGAGTTTCTTTACATTTGCTTATTCAACGCCTTAGGTTTTCGTCCGTTCAAGCGATAAAGACAGATGTATAGAAACAGCCATGGGAGTCGTTTCCACCCTTTTTCCATCCGAAATAGTGCCAATTCATACCTATTCAAGTCATAAGTACGACCTGGTAGGTTACTTCCTGGAGCTAGAAAAAACTACCTTTCCGATTTTCTTTATTTCAGCTTTTGAAGCCGAGCAGTGTTCGCTGTGACCGAGCAGATATCTTGGTTTCCGGCGATAAACGCAAACTTTATCAAAAGCGGAACCGGGGGTACAAGAATCTCTTTGCTTATCTCTCACATCACACCGGAACACATGTTTCTATGAGCAACATCAAAAACATCTACAACACAGTTCATCGTGAGGTGAGCGGCATAGTACTGATACTGTACTATTGCTTCTTCTTATCTCTTGTTGCCTGCCTTATTATGGTCAAAAATCGCAATAAATGCTGCGCAGGAGTAGTAAAAGTACAACCAATGTAGTAGCTACCAAGGAATGTCACGTAAGTTAGAATCGTGTTCTGGATGAGACACATCTATTTGAAATCAGCTTCGAACGATGATTCCAAATATGGTATTCTTAGCTGCGGCGCATCATTCTGGAGAGAGTATTATTCTATGCGCGGAAATTGCATGCTCGTTTGATCTACTGGGATTACTATACTAACATTTGAGTGTTAATACACTGGGATAGATTCTTTATCAATAAAAACGGATTTGATTTGTTCTTATTTTGATGGTGCAGCACTTTTTTCGGGTGAATTTCGATTTATAGGCATTCTTTCCGTGCTGAGTGAAACGCCAAATTCGCGCAAAAATCAATAATTCGCTTCGGAACGGTGGCTTGCCAAAGTCTATAAGCTTGTGGAGATCGTAAAATACAAAGCTTCAACTTCCGTATCTATCGTTCGTCTTTGCTGTAAAACAGGATCTGCTGGAAATCATTTTCCCGTTTCAGTAAACGTGGTTGCGGTGAGTTTCCGTGCAAATGTGCATTGATGAAATATCTGAAAAATAGTGTGACGGCAGCTTCCTTTTTCACCAGTTTTTTTAAAATTTGATTATGCAATCTGATACAATTTATTATTGTAACTCATTTACAGCTGGAGAGCTGACAGAGGAGATACAGTCTGCCCCAATCGGGATCAGGCCGAAGCGTCGGCGTAAATTTGCGCGCTCGCAGCGCTAGCGGTCTGCGCTGCATATGCGCGCTGTTGGAGAGAGCCAAAGGACTGAAGAGAGGGCAGAGAAGCAGGCAGTGGGCGTGACCGCGAAACCCTAGCGACGCGGACTCCCGCCATGCCAATTTTGGCCTGGTTAGGATTGGGGCAGACTGTACCTTTGGGCGGTGAGGTGGGGCGCATAAACATCATTTATGTGGTGTTTCGTCATTCTCTATCAAAATTTGCCCGTTTCTGCCATTGTGCATCTGATATGCCTGGTTTTGAGGGCAGAATCTGACACTTTCCGGTCAGTACCTAGCCCAAATGTAGGTGCCACGAGAGGGGCATCTGCGTTGATTCGGTCCTCCAATGTTGTCTCTGAATGGAGATAATTGACTTGAAACCCACAAAAGTGCTATCAAGCCACGCCCACTCTATCAAGCTCCTCCTGTCCAAGTGCTGAAAGTCGTCTGTTCCTTCAGGACGGGGTTCCCAGAAGTCGGGTTTTCTGGGGGCTTTTTTGTGACATCTTGCACTTCAAATCTGTTCAGAGCAACGAGGCCCCAGAATGACAAAAACATGGGAGGTAAAATTTTGAGACGCTGCCTTCAGTAAAATTGTAAACCACGAGAGACATTGTTCAATGTAAACAATTTCTAGAGCGAAAGTGGCTTGAAGCAACCGGAATGGGTTTACAAGATAACTGACCACAACACTACCATCATCGAGGAGATGGCAGAACTGAAACGTCAGGAGCGTATTGAAGCTTACAACTCTTTTGAGAAAGCGAAATTGAGCACTGGTTTTCTCACTGGTCAGCTGCTCAAAGAACTTCGGGACAAAGTAGTGGGAATATCTCGAAAGAGTATGGCTCTGTACTCGACGGTAAGAAAGCAATTTCTAAGTGAAAACAAAAGTAAGCTGCCAGAGTTTTTTTTCAGCACGATGCCACCATAACCTCGCTTTTGTATAATCTTGGAGTGTCAAATCAACTCTTGCCTCCTTACACGGCTGCAGTTTTATTGGAACTACACAAAATCAATAAGCATCACTTCGTAAAGGTTCTTTTATGGTTTTCTAACAATACAGCAAAAATGAGAAACTTCTAGGTTCTCTTCCGTAACTCAACCAAAGAAGCATCACCACTGCAACTTCCAACCTGCGCTGTCCTCTGCCCATGGCAAGACTTCGTACGCTTCGCGACTCCACGGTCATTTCAAACTAGAGAAGAATTTGAAGTTGCATGTGAGAATAGGCGCGACTCGCAGAAGGTTCACCCCAAGAGGGAGGAAACATCATCAACACTGCCCCTCAATCCAGAACTGATTGCTGTAGCTGGATATTCTCTTTTGCTGCTTGTTGTCTTGTATCTCTACAGAGCAATACCCATCAAGGGTCTTCCTGCAAGCTGTGAACCCTGACCTAATTGTAAGAGTTTATCGGTTAAGAGGAGCATTGGTCAAAACACCATTTTGACTTTGATCACCATCGGAATTGATATCTCTTGCCAAATTCCATACTGTAGGCACTGATTTGAGGTTTTTCATGGTTTGCCACATTGTTTCTGAACTAATAATTGATTATTGCCTTCCTGGGACAGAATTTCCATTTCTTATTGTCTTTCACCCTGATCTCGATAAAAGTATCAAATAAAATTCATCTCGTATGTAAATACATTTTGCTTTGTGCATTTTGGTAACATTCTTGTTTTCTCGCAGTTATCATTTCCATGAGAGGGTGACCAATGACGCCCACTAAATGGTGGCGGGGTTGGTAAAGTTTGAAGCTCCTTTACAGGGTTTAGCGCATGAATTGGAGGGTGGAATTAGGAGTACGGTGTGCTTGAAGGGGTCTACTATCTAGTACTACCAAAGTCTGATAGAAGCCCATTTTGCCGATCTACTGCCTTTAAGGATTGCACCTGTTTTCCCTTTAGGCCCGGGCAGACTTCACGCGATTTGGTCGTCGCGACTGAATCGCGACGATCAAATCACGTGAACTCTGTCCGAGGCCTTAGGGAGCTGCTCGTTCCCTCACCGAAACAATTCCAAGGCAAGATTCTCTTTGAAGGTGAACTCTTTATAACGTTGCCGGTCGCAGCAATAAATCAGGGCTTGCAGACGCAAGAAAATTTGAAAAAGCACTACAGAAATGTCTTCCTAGGAAAATGGACCATTCTTGGAAAAGAGGAGGGCCCTGACCTCAAGGTAGTCACCAGGGCTTCTGCATGACATGCTACACAACAAAATACGTCGTAGTGAGCAAATGCAACTTGCCGATGTCTCGTGGCTTCAAGCGGGCTTGAGAATATCAATTTTGAAGTGTCGTGTCGATGCTCTCGAAATTCGGGGTGGGCCAGCCTTCGATCCGACCCCGTGTTGACTCAGTGCGACGGTCAGCAACCGAATGTTTGGCTGCATAACACATCAGCCAAGACGTAACCGTCCACGTAACTTCGAGGATGAGCCGCCAAATCTCAGGTGACCGCTCCCGAGTTGTCGTCCTGTCCCCCCCTTAAGACTGTGTTTTTTTCAGATCACGAACACTCGAAAAGGCAAACACGAAAACTGAGGTTCCAGCGGCTGCGCCGAAACGAGAGAGTAGGCACCTGTCGTTGCCAGCTAGGAGACAAGACTCCTTGAAAGGTGATCGTTAATCATGGCTGCGGCTTCGAACAGCTGTTTCTGTAGCAAAGAAGTGCTTAAAAACAAAGTAGTACATCGTTTTTCTTACGCAGAAACAGCTGTTTCTGGAAACTCAAACCTTCCTCGTATTATCACTTACAAAATGACATGGAATAAGCTCTTCACTTATCCTTGCTTTTTTCCCAGTTTCCTTGCACTACTGAAACTGTTTTTTCAATGTTTCTTACAATTTTTCGCCGATATCAAACTGAATATTTCACACTCCAATTTGTGAGCTTTTATAGCGAAGAAATGGATTTATGTCGAGTTGGCAGAAGTTTCTGTTACATTTACTTTTTTTTAGCATTCTACTGGGTAAACTTTACGACCAAATTTCAAAAACCATTTCTTGGCACTGCATAACAACTTTTGTACGATGCACTTAATAGGAGGAAGTCGGATATTTTTGAACTTTTCAATTTATTTCTGGATTTTGAGAAGCTAGAGGTCGAATTGCGCTATAGAAAAATAAAATAAAATACTCAAAATGAATAACAGAAAGCTATATAAATGAAAAATAGCAAGGGCAGATAAAAAAAATATCTGAAAAAAGGAAAAACTGAAAATCTAAAAAAAACTGCTGCAAATTTGCTGTCTTTCTTAGTGTGCATTTGCGGGCATCATTATACGGCGTATAGAGTATGAACAGGTTTGCGATTTTCAGAAAGCTCAAATTTTTTGAATCTATAAATAAGTGTACCAGACAAATGACTCCTGCGGAGCTTGCAAAAAGGACACTACTAAATATATTTACTTAAAAAGACATCAAATTGAGTCATGAAAATCTAAAGTCTGTTCTTCAAAACTTCATAAAAACTCGTTGTTCTCATTGCCACAATTTAACAGCGACATTCTTATCAATTGCTTCTTCTTGCTTTATGAAGCAATTTCCACTCTCAACTAATCTTCTCAGCAATTTCTTGTGTCTACCCTCTCAATCGTTCTATTGATTATCTACGCACTTTTCCTGCATTGAAAAACTTGGCACAATGATTTTGTTCTTTTCCGCTTCTCAATCAACTCGGCTTCGCACAGTATCCGGGCACTTTGCAGTAAGGACAAGCGTCCCCGTTGTCAACAGTAAGGGCTCTCATCTTGAGGCACTCGGTACTCCAGACCTTGCACGTTTGCTGAAACGAGGGCTACGAGCAGTGTGTCCGAGAGCTGTGACAGCGGCAAAAACGAACAGTTTTCTCTGTGCTTCGCCTGACACGGCCACTCACTCGATGCGACGCGCTTTTACGGAATGTCTTCAGGTGATCAAAATAGGTACACTCGAGCTATTTTTGACTCAATATGTGTGCCGGAACAATACGCGAGGCACAATAATACGACTTTTACGTTTCAGTGGCCAAATTTTAATAATTGTTTTTTTTCCTGCGAAAATAATCAGCTATCGTCGAGTCACTTGTAACTCAACATGCATATTGCACACCATGCGCGTTACTTCACGAGTAATTGAACCTGCTTTAGGAATTTTTTCTTGTTTTTTTTTCTTATAATGTGACTGGGTATATATCAGGTAGTAATACACTTCCAAAGTTGGTTTCACTAAAAAAGGTTCTTGAATTCTAGTAAAGTGTCCTCTTATACTGCGCAGCTTGTAGGCTCATCTATCAAGGCCTAAAAATACTTAAAGATACACTAGAGCCATCTGTAACTCAATGTATTAGGTTGATGCATATCTTGCACCACAATTTTTGAAAATCTCTCATTCCATTCAGCTTCAATGAATCCTTCTGCTTTCAAACATGACGAAAAGGGAAAACCTTGCGCTTTCTGAAAGTGCTCAAGTCAAAATTCTCGAGGGCAGATGGCGACGATATAAAGAGAGAAATACTCAACAGTAATTTTTCGAATTTTGATTATTAAAGTTGCCAAAACGTTTACTAAAATTCAAACTTATTCTTGATCTTAGTTCTATGACCTACCGTTTTCAACTAGAAGAAGTTGGTAGTGATTAGATGATGTCTCTGTGAATGGTTACGAAATTCGATTTTTTAAAATTGACTGGGTGATTTTGTTTCATACTGATTTTCTACAATGGAATACTTTTGACATACATAACAATAAGCATACTTTCAAATTGATTAGTTTGTTCAAGCACTTTTTACCTATTTTTTCTATTTGTTTTTTTTTTGGTGCAAGAATTGTGCATTAACCTGAATCTAGTGGACAATCGCGAGGTATCTCACAAGGTTAGTATAGGTGGCAAGTTTTAGAGATTCTTTCCTTTCTTTAATCTCCGAAGTCCAATCAGATTCCAATAACCTTCTTAATAAGGTTTTTCCATTAAAACGTACTTTTCATGACTGCGAGTAGTTGTGAGATGCCGCGATTGTTGAGCAATTCCAAATATAGCTATAAATGACGATAGCTCTAATGGTACTAGACGGTAGACCTTAAACATACATTCCGTGATCAAAGTGATTGCCACATAGTGAACTAATCTCATTGTTATCACTGAAAAAGTTCGAAAATCAATATTTCTGTAAAAATCAATCATGAACATCAAGAAAAATCGAACTTTATCATTCTTTTGACGTTCACCAGCCCCGTTTGGCGAAAGTCTGGTCGGATTTATGAATCACTAAACTTCTTTTCGTTGGCAATCCTAAAAAGCAGCTCTTCATCTCTCAAAGGCCCTTCCTCCCCCTCTTCCCTTCCTCTTCCCTATCGCTATCCCATCCCTCTAACTTTGTCTTTGTGTCGTATAATACCTCATGGAGTTGACTCATTCATTTATTCCCGCCTCCGGTGTTAAGTTGAAGTAAGCCGAAAGCTTGAAAACGCAGCTGTGGCCAATAAGTCATGAACATTTCTTTTTCTTAAAGCTGCCGCATGCAATAATTCTTGGTTCCCTTCATACGCATGGAGTTTCTCTACTTACTTTCAAAGTAAAATATTTTGCAGTCTGGCATTATGCGGTATCATTAGATTGAAGAAAAGAATGTCGCTTTTTCCGAGTTTTCTCCGTTAAAATATATTTCTCGCCAACCAATGCATATCCAAGGCCAAAATTCCATGGTCAAACTTACGAAGGCTTGTATGCAACAACATGCAAGGGAGGGGTTTACGGTCACTGGGGAGGAGTTTGCCATTTTCTTTTTCAATTTTTCTTGTTTTTCAAGCATGAAAAAAATACAGCCATTGTATCTATGGATATTACATGCACCTGTTATATGCAGGAGCAAGTGAGAGATTTGTAGGATTTTATGCGCCTGAAAATTCGAATTTGGCATCATTATGGCTTCTATGTTCCGGCTTCGAACTTTGGGTAGATCACAATTTTTGCCATTGTTCAACACATTCACGACAGGGCCGTTTTTCACTGACTGCCATTGCGGACCAGAGCATATTTCGCTAATTGAGTTTGCGAAATACTTTCAGGTCACTGATGGACCCTGTGTTCTGAAGTGTTAATCTTTGGGAAGTACTTCAAGAGGTGTATGCAGAAGTTTACTCGATTTGTCTAAAAAGTTTCACCGTGAACTAGCAAATCAAAAACTTCAGAAAGCATACGACCCACCAGTGGCTCGTATTGTCCGAAATGGCAGAACACGCACGACCCACCGGTGGGACGTAGTCGTGAATGTGTTGAAGGTCATTTTCTAGTTCTTCGTTTGCTCTATCGAAAGATACCTTTCTCACATTATTATGGATTCGTTTTATTGTTTTATATAAAAAATGACATTCTTTTCTTTCTAACCTAATAGCAATCACAACCGTCAAATTTC